CATTGTCGTGTGGTGCGCAGGCGCATTGTCGTCTGGTGCGCTGGCGCATTGTCGTCTGGTGCGCTGGCTCATTGTCGTGTGGTGCGCTGGCGCATTGTCGTGCAGAGCATTTGCCGAGTTAAGTGGTGCAAATTTGCATGTTTGAGTGAAGCACCGATGCGTTGTTGGCTGGTGCGCCTGAAATTCCTAAAATTAAGATACTCTGGTGCATAGTCAAGCGATGCTTCGGTGTATTGTTAAAATATGCACCAGTGCATTTCCCAGTGGTGCTATGATGCATAAAATTATGCCGCAGTGCATTGTTGCGCGATGCGCTGTGCATTTTAATTGGAGTGTGGTTGCACTTCTAAGTGGTGCAGTGTAGCGTGGGATAGAAGAAAAAATGTAACTCAATACTCACTGCAGTGAGTGACAGAGAGCGCATTTTCTCGTCGACGAAAACGTGAGGTCACGGACGGACAGACAGACAGACGGACAGACATACGGACGGACGGACGGACAGACGGATATGGCGAGCACAATAGTGCATTTTTCCCATAAATGAGAAAATGCGCTAAAAATATCTTTCCGTGGCGTATCAAAACTTTCAGCTAAACGCTATTTATTTGGAAAATCCAATTGATCTTTTGGCTCAATCAAAACATAAACGGGAAAATATAATTTAAATATACTGTAATTTGCAAGCTGGGGAACATTCGTGTAAATACCAGCATGGTTTTGACTTCAAAAGCGTCAAGAATTGAACAAAACGGCAGGACGAGTTTTATAAGCAAAAAAGATTCGTTGATTTCACTTTTACGCTGAACAAACCTTGAAGGAGAGCCGGAAACAAAGTTAGGGACCTGTTTATGATGCTATTAGACGGGACACGTCAGCCCGCTCTCCTTCTCAGGCACTTCAATGCTCAACTAATCTTGCTGAACTAACAACAAAATATGCAGTGCAGATAATACAATGTTTTCTTATTTAAAAAGTCCGTGCTCACAAAATAATGCTTACAAATGTAATGTTGACGAATTTGTTCAATAAATTAGGGTCAACCAATTTGATTTATCTTCGATAATATATCCTGAAATTAAAACTGGTGTCGCAATAGCGAATAAAGTTCACTCATTGTCGTTGTTAAATGAAAATACAGGAATAATAGCGTGTTCATGTAATAAATGGTACAAATTTTCCGCTAACAAAGCTGTGACGAACTAATCTTGAATCCCCGAATAGCCAATTAATTGCGTCACCTCATAAGTTCGAATGGTCTAATTGTCACGTCCACCAATGACCGGAAATTAAATGCAACTTCCCTATTGGTTTTATCAGCAAAGGCTTGGACCGAGCGGATAGTTACTCAAACAAACGTTTAAATTTATTAAAGATAAACGGCAAATTAAAACTAAGCAAATCAAACTAACTATGTTACAGAGGTGCGGCATATGAATTAAACGAACATAACAAGTTAAATGCGGAGGAAGCTAAAGCGCCAGGAGAGCAAAAATACGAGGAGAGAGCTAGAGCATGGAGATATGAGAAAACGCACGATCCTACAACAGAAAACATAAAGGAAATATCTACGCATGACAAGTCGTTATATAAGAAAAAATCACGACATTCCACCAAGTATTCCAAGCTAAATTTCACCACCATAGCACGCAACTCAACCTGGCGTCTGAGTCAAAATCCTATAAGAGATGAACCAGGACGCAAGTCGGGATCGGCATTGTATCTGACGGCTATAATCAATTCAACACCGACGTCAGAGTCGGTCCTACTTAAACTTCGTAGTCTGACATACAGTAGTGGGAAATTTGCAGCAACACTTCATTACAAAAGCTGTTTATTTTATTCTAAAACTCACAGTTTCGCAGCTGAGATTTACGTTCATAAATGACGAGTAAATTGACGATCATGAGAATTTCTTGAGATAATAGGCAACATTGAACGGCAGCTCATGTAACAGCTTGAAAATAACAACACGTTAATTTAACCTGCAGTTTGTGAAGCAATTGGCAACGTAGAAATAATTAAACAATGAATAGCTCGAATAGTTCATTAATGCAGCTGATTGAAGGGACAAACGGCAAGTTTGTCAATTATTTTATGGCAGAAACAGTTTATTCCACGTCCAAAGATGACGTCGATACCATGTTGAGAATTTCAGAAGATTTGGGGATAACCGATGGCTATCGACTTAAAAAAAAATAATGATCAAACTCTTCAAAAATGGGGTTGAAGTAAAAATTTATTTGTTTCCACTTTCAATAATAACTTCGCATTTCTGGCCGGTCTCAAGCCGAACCTAAGTAAAATCACTTGTGAAAAAATCTTTAAACAACATTCACGACTCTAACGGCATGGCGCTTCTATTTACTGTAACTTTCTAGCATTCAGAAGGCATTCCTGCAGCACCTCAGTTTTGGCCACAGCCCTGCTTTTCTCTGAGGCTGACTTCTTGAGGGTTAGACGTGAGTGTAGGTCCCTTGCCTGGTGGCTTCAACGCTCTTCTCCTATAGGTTGTTATAGAGTAGAATAGAAGTGGCGGCACTGAAGAAATAGGCCCATGGCCTGTTGCCGATTCTTGTACTTTTCGTGACAAGGGATCCGGCCTTTGGACCCCGATCTTTCCATAACTGACAATTGATTAAGATAGCTGCTGGACTTATTGCCTGGTCCTTAAGTTGCTAGGCATTTTAAGACTGAACATATGCTCCTGCATGGCTTCGTCTAGTCTGTTCTTGAAGGCGTTCATACTCTGAGCGTCAACGATGCTATCAGGGAGGCTGCTTGCGTTTCCTTCCCAATCAAGCCCCGCAGACGTCACAGGTGAGACTTGTTTCTTCTCAAGTTTTCGGTTGGTTTGCCTGGCCTGCTAGTTGGATTGTCGAGGTCTGCCTTGAATGAACGAGCCAGTCATGAGACATTCATTTGAACTTGAGATAAGTCATACTCATTTTCCTGGTAGTTCATGCTTTCTCATTTCCCTGGAATATTGAATTAGTTGCGGATCTTTATAATTGTGGAAAGGAACAACAATATTATTTAGATTTAAATTCATATGTTTGTTGAACAATGCTCTACAGAAGTCGCCCCCTTGACACAGAAGCAACATAACAATGTAATAATCATAATAATAAACTATTAACAATGTAATAATCATAAACACTAACATTATATTTTGACTAAAATAGCTGCAAAATACAGAAACAGAAACGGTACGGGAAGTATTTTTGACTGTATTGTAGCATCATCATTAGTCATCATTAGTCAGCATCATCATTTATCGAGTTAAGTATAATAACTCGTGACGGTTACTAAGGTAATATATGTCTTACCGCACCATGACAAGGGAATTTATTCATCAATTAATTGTACCGATATTAGACTAAAAAAATATTGGCTAAATGATATTTCTGCTTAAATTAAATTCTCTGAGATGGTCATAAAATTAAGGTTAATGTGTTTATGACAGAGGCTATTATATTGGACTGGATTTGACTAAATCATAAATCATTATTTACCTTTGCTTTAAACAATTCTAGGACTTAACAATTATATAGAAAAATTGACTTTCTTCAGTGGTTTATCGTTGGAGCCTAACCTAAGTATGCAATGCATTAATAATGCTAAAGAACTAGTTGCATTAAATTCAAAATTTAATGCAATTTAAGTGCTCTCACTTTGTAAAGTAGCGACGAGAAATTTTGTATACAAAATTTAAGAGTACCTCCTAGTAGCATTCCCATTTTCTATTGATAGTTTTCAGCCTGACAGAAAATTTTCAAGAATTACCAATGTAAATAGGCGTCGCATGTATAAGGAATTTTTGCCAAACTGAAATAGGAGTAAAACTGACGACGCAAAGTTATAAAATAAAAATAAAAAAAACTTTTGAAAGCAATTGAAAGAAGAAAATAAATAACAAAAACAATATAAATTTTCTTTCATTTACGGAAAAGGAAATTCACGATAAGCAACAGCTTAGCTTAACAAATAAATTTGTCCGAATAATGTTTCCTTGTAAAAATGGCAAAGTCACACTCGGTAGACCAGATTTTTGCGGGAAGAACCTCACTAGGAGGAGACGAATCGTTGTTGACGACTCGCATCGTTACGATTTGGTGGCATATTCGGCAACATAAACACGAGAACGCACCTTGGATGCTGAAATGAATCGTTCGCAGTATAGCGAATTGTGATCAAAGCGAATTTAGTCCAAGCAACGTATCTTCCTGATTGTCAGTTTCATGCTCACAATCATGGAGATTAAGCCAATATTCCAGAGCAAAATTACGACAAGTGTATGGTCATAATCTGAAAATCATGAATATTTATAAAATTTTGTAAGCGACAAAAATTGTACCAATCGAAGTGATTATTGCGAGTGAGTTTACAGAAAAAAGTATAATGCAATTCGCATTCTCGGGAATATATGTTAAAATATATGTTAGCAAGTCTTAAATTACTGGACAGGTAATTCATTATAAATTGGAGCCTCGAACTTGTCGTTTTCCGTGAATGTGCAGTCTAAACTCAACATTGTCAAATTTGAGGGTTATTACGTGTTGACATGAATATTCAATCCTGTCAACTTTCGATATGATTGACAGATTAGTAATACGAGGGCAAGTTCTACTTTAATCGTTGAATTCAACAGTTGTTGTTTATCTTAGCCAATAGGAAACCGCCAGCCGAAAAGGGAAGCTTTACCATCAGAGCCCCCAAAACAATTGAACACCCATTTACTGCCGAATATAAGGAATACGATATCGGAAAATTATCTAGCTACAAATATTTTATTTTCTGCAAGTCTAAAACAAATCGAGGACGTACGTAGAAACATCTGCCTAATATTCAATTATAAAAATAAACCTGTGATATAATCTCACAACCAAATAAGACAAAATAGCGCACATTTGAGCACTGACCTATGAAGGAAAAGTTGATAGTTTAGATGCACCGCGGCGCTGGACATGCAGGAGCAGGTAAAAGAAAGTTAACAGTCTGGCAGTTGACGTACTCCTGTGAGGTGAGCGTAGCTCCGCGGTTGTTCATTAGGTGCCTCGTAAGATTGTGCACAACCCGCTTACATCCTGTGGTCTTATAAAGAGAATTAGCTGGTAAAACAGTGCCCACAATATATATAAGTATTGCTGGCCTAAAGCCTGGCACTGCAAGGTGATCACTGTAAAGTTTTTCATATTTCGGATAGTTAGGAATTTAAAGGACGCATTTGCAATTTTTAAAGAATGCACTATACAAATAGATGAAAAAGCTACAAGGCATCGGATTGTAAAATCAGACAGCTGAATCAATCAATAATGTATCAGCAACGAACGAACTGAATTCCAGACGTCTATATCAAATCCTATAAAATAATTATGATTCTATAACCGAGCTTGGCTGTGCAATTGCTCTTAGAAGAGTTAAGTGACTGCAGTTGTAAGGCCAGATGCATCACTCATGCAGTGAGGAGTGGCAAATGTTATTTTTATGCACGGTTATTCTACAGTTTAAACAATGTAGCCACAAGAAAAAATTTTCAGAACGGAATTGGAGAAAGGAACATTCTATATTACCCGTATTATTAGATCACGTGATCTTTTTAATTACGACGATCATACTATTTTTAACTAAAATTATTTTCAATGTTATTACAGTATGAGTATTGAGTAACCAAATGGGTTACTCATACTTTGATGAATGTGGGTCTGAACTAGTCTCTCTTTGACATATGTATTTTAGTTTAAAAAATATTGACTGGATTGTATTGTTGAAACGTTATTGTTAAATAGCAGGGATTCTCTGTCCTGGCCCGTTTCGGAATTCTCGTCGTAACCAAGGCCGTTCGGCGAAGGCCCATTCGCAAACATGTCGCACTAGGCCGGCAATGACGAACTCAATTCTCATAACCGCAGTTTTCGGACGATTTGGCCGGGCACGGCGGAGGCCTCGGACGTTTTCTCGCAGGCATGTGCGGATGTTTCACTTGCGAAATTGTTTGATTAAACTGGGCATGCCTGTCTTATTTTTGCCTTGGGGCTGCGCTGGTGCAACCTTTGTGGGCAAGAAGTAGTAGTAGAAGTAGTAGTATTAATTAAGTTTCTAGTGCTGTAGAAAATCTTGATCTATTTCGCGCCGAATGTCCTTTGTGGGCAAATATGCATGTTCACCCGAGGCTGGCTCCCAGACTGTGGCGATTTCTGACTGGGAAATAATGCTCGGATAATCTGCTAGTGTTATTATAAAAAAGTTTTAACCTGAGTACATAGCTTACGTGCAGTGTGATCCAACATAATTTTTTGTTATATTTTTTGTAACATATTTTAGATGATGATGATAGATGATGAAGAAGATCAAGTGTAAGTTATCAGAAATATTGTCAGCAGGGTTTCCAGTTTCAATACATGTTGGATGTTACAATGGATGACTGTGCTAAATTTCAGATGCCGGCGCACAATAATTTTTTTAAAATAAATTCGACCCAGAACTGAGTGAGTGAACGGGCGAGCATGTGATATAGAGCATGTGATATATATAGAAAGGACAATCGTTATAGACGAACAGCGGCAGGGCTTCAAGAAACGTCTCATATTTGCAGTTGTTATAGTAAATAAAATATATTGGTGAACTGTCTACTATTTAGGGCTTTTGCAGCAGTTATAGTAAATAAAATAAAAATATTGGTGAGCTGTCTATATACTATTGAGGGCGCTTTCACCCTCGAGCAGCACGCTGCATCAACACGAACGCAACAACTGTTGTCAACGCAGGCGCTCGATATCGTCGAGTTGTGACATAAAAACTCTGAACATCGTCCACGTAAGCGAACAGATTATGGACACGCGTCGTCCAAGCCTGTGACAACAAACAGTGCTGTTATGTGTATAGGGTTCCCAGTACATGTAATAAAAAGCTAATTCACATCATGAGCGCCGACTTGCGTTTTACTGAGCGCGTGACTGCTTACTTTCCCTAGCCGAGCTCCTTTCTGATGCTTATTATAATTAGCCGCTTCCCTTACGGCTGGCAGAAAGCAGTTGTAGTGAGAGTGAACTATATAAATACATGGAATATGCACAGCAGAGATAAGTCTCTGCAGGGAAAGCAGCCTGCAGAGATGACATGTTCTGCAGGGATAATACAATCGATATATCATACCTGTACGTATAGTGTATACGCTACGCCAGTTCTATGTTCTTGGAAAAGAATCTGTGGTGCGACATAAATTGTGATTTTTCTAATAATTTATTTATTGGATGCGATGTATGTCAAATCCTGTTGTCCAAAATATACATGGAAATTTTCAGGATTATAAATATTTATTAAAGAAACACATTATGATGCTTGATGTTAATTAATCTGACCTAAATTACATAATCATGCATTTTGCAATAATTTACGTCGAATAATTTACATCGAGGAATTTACACTGCATTCGTTGCTTAGTCGCAATTGCGCACGATTGATGTAGGCCTTTGCTGTCTTGAAGTTATTTACATAATTCTACTGCAAAAAAATCTTTTTAAATTTTATTATAATACTAACAATTACGTAAACTATATTGTATTCATATTAAGTATTGCAATGTATTTTCTCCTTAGCTAAGAGAAGGCAAACCCCAGTTGGCTGCCGATCGTCTATATTTATTCCACGAACATTCATTCGCCCGAAATATTGCACACGTTTGACGCCTAAATTATTCGACGCGTCTTTGAATTAGCTTTTAGAAAGTGAGGCGCTGGTCATCGTCTTGTAACCGCACCGTCCGGCCGATCAAAGAGAAAATCCACGTCCGAGAGCCCGCGTGCAATTCCGCTCGCTGGCGCAGCTGTTTTGTTCGGCTGCGTTGCAACACGATTCTTCTTCAGAGAGACAATGCCTTCTCTGACTGGCAAAAAAATTACCGGCTGATTTCCCTACTGATTTTTATGGAAATTTTTTTTCTACGATCTAGATAAAGCTTGCGAAACTGTTTGATTAAACTGGTCCATGAATAAACTAAACTCTTACTTTGAATTTGCGATATAATTTCAAAGACAACCAGCAATTTTTTCGTACGGTAATAAAATAGTCATTTATGTTCAATACAGCATTCTTCAATGCTGCAAATAATTTGTGATGTGATTTAAAAAATGAATTGCATGGGACTTTTGATAAGATGATTCCTCACTCACGTTGCGTGCGAGGGAGGATGCAATCGTACTCTCAAGAATTCTCTCGTATGAGCTCAGAGATAAGGCTCATAAATCTCGATGGGTTCGAGCCTTTGCCCGCAGGTTCCATAATCTGTGCATTACGTCATCTGCTTGTTTGATCACAGCAGCCGAACTCGAACCATCACTTGTTAAGTTAACATGATGTTGCTGCTTACTCGCAGTCAAGATATTTTTTTTTATTCAAGTCAAGATATTAATTCATAAATGCGATGCCCTTTTTGATCAAAATGAATCCATGTTTGTGAACTCTAGAAGGAAAGTGATGCGAAACCTTTCTCTCTGGGAATCGTGAGAAAATCTCACTACCCCAAGATTCCAGACAAGGCACATTTATTATTAACACGTTGACTACGATTGCTTCATCTTGTACTATTATTTCATTTTTCTGTACTGTTTTTAAACAGGGTTGCCAGACGGTCATTTTTTTCCGGACAAATTCCGTGACTTAGTTTTTCTCAATTGCGTTTGCCGGCTAAAATTTACGATAGCGGTACTTCCTAATTAAATTTTAAATACTGCAAGAAGAAAACAAATGGAATTTTTATAGCGGAACCTACAATTTAACTAGTATATGTTGAGTTATGGGTCTTTTTGGCCTTTTATGTTCTCGGATTTGGCCGATTTTAGGCAACATGAATTATGTACCACTACGTCCTGAAGAAATACATTTCGTGGTACGCATATGTACCACTTCGGAGTCAACGTGTTAAAATATGAAGGTTTCAGGCGAGTCCAGCCTCCTACAGCAAATCTATAGTCATCTACGACAAGTGCCACAGTACGAGGCAAGTCGTATATTATATCGAAGTTCCTAAGTCTCATGTTAGACCTCATATTTCAGCCAAGTCCCACGTCATCAGGTCAAATCTGACATTATAAGACGATTCAATTTGTATCAGTGAAGCAGTACGGTTTCTTCCAAGACATCGTAGTACCAGGCGCGTTCGCAGTACGAGGATAGTCCTATACTGTCCCGAATATGTCCCATGTCCCGTAGTATCAGACACGTCCCACAGCATCAAGCACGTCCCAAACCATCAGACACGTCCCACAGTATCAGACACGTCCCGTAGTAACAGACACGTCCCACAGTATCAGACACGTCCCGTAGTATCAGACACGTCCCACAGTATCAGACACGTCCCGTAGTATCAGACACGTCCCACATCATCAGACACGTCCCACATCATCAGACACGTCGCACATCATCAGTCACGTCCCACATCATCAGTCACGTCCCACATCATCAGACACGTCCCACATTATCAGACACGTCCCACAGCATCAAACACGTCCCGTAGTATCAAACACGTCCCAGAGTCTCATGAAAGTCCCAGAGGCTCTCTGTAGCAGCAGAGTATCCCTCGTGTAACGGCTGCCTCTCGAGAGCTGACGCATAAGTTGTGGGAAGTGAAGGGAGCGAGCGTGGGTTTGTGCTGTGCTTGGCATCATGTTAATTAAGGACTGCAGTGGGAAGGCCAATGCAACAAATATTATGATCATTGCAATTATGCAACAAATATTATGATCATTGCAATTATGCAACAAATATTATGATCATTGCAATTATGCAACAAATATTATGATCATTGCCATTATGCAACAAATTTTATGATCATTGCCATTATGCGACAAATATTATGATCATTGTAATTATGAAACAAATATTATGATCATTGCATCAAAACTTCATGCAGATGCCGGATTTTATGCCTCATGTCAATCATGCCTTATGCCTGCAAGCACTGGCAGGAGATAAATCAAAAGTACGTACTCTTATCATTGCGTTAAAAATACCCTTTGAGGTTCAGATAAAAAATGGGTAATGAGGCTAAGGTGTCGCGAAATTTTGTGCAGCTTCACATATTTTCTTCCGATTAAAATCTGACCGTTTCGTGTGAAGCTTTCTTTCCCGTGCCACATCATTTCGCTTCGCCGTGAAAGTGAGACCGAGGGTTCACCCTCTGTCAACTAACGGTAGCTATCGTTCCCAGGCTTTTAGAGAAGAACAGCATTAACGACAGTTAATGTATCAGTAGTAAGAGGGTTAACGCAGCAATAAAATGGAGGCGTATAATTTTTTCAACAAATCTGATTTATTCGCCCACATGAGAGCTGAGCACCATGACCCAGAGTCGGTTTTGACCTCCTACACTTAAGACGACACCCACGCTTCATTTTCATTTGTGTAAGAACACCACAAACTTGGTGGTCTAGCAATAAAACTATCGAGCAAATATAATGAGCCAAAAATTGATGGACATGCAAATAGTGTTCAATAGTGGCTATTGAACACTATTGAACACTATAGAACCCTATTTGAATGTGTTCAATAGTGTTCAGCAAGAAAGAAAAGACTGTCTTAGAAAAGGACACTGAAACGATTCTAAATGTACATTTTTTATTGAAAAGATTATAAGGTGCACGGGAATGTTGTATAAAACCGGAACGCTGGTGAAAAGAGTGGTGCAACGATAGAAACTTGAACTTTGTTGAAACGGGACGTTGGAAGGGGTCAAAGAGGACAAAATATATTAATTGTTAGATAATGGGAGCTCACGATTTTTACAGCTAGATGAATTATTGTCCATATTCTTTTCTGTGATAACAATGATGTCCATCGCATTTTCTGAATCGACAAATGATGATCAATGAGAGCATTCAGCTCAAAATTCCTAATTCTCATTCAATATTGCACGAAAATCTTCTCACTTGACACGTATACTCAACATTGTCCGAGTCAGAGTTTTTAGCCAGCGAAATTAGTAAAGTGAGTAAACAGACGCTAAGTTTCCATTATTTTCATGATAACCGCTTGTAACTGGAGTTACAATGATAAGAGCCATGCCCAGTAAACGAACGTTTAAGTCACGACTCATCGTGTGTCACAGTGTTTGCCATTATTAGGCTACAGGCACTCCAACCGTTCCCTGTAAACAGGTCTAAAGCGTCATGCAATATTATAACTTTCACCGCGGCAGTTGCTTATGGAGCCGCGCATTGCATCCTGGCGCTGGTGAAGGTCGCTCAAGGAATTAAACGTGCGGGAAATACGGACGGTGAGAGGCGCGTCTCTTACCTAACTGTACATCCGGCTTCTGATGGTTCTCCAGGTCAGCCACAATAGACGGCCAATCTTTCCAAAGCGAGGTGACAAGAAAGGCTCCCGCTAGGGAAGCTGATTTCATTTACGTAAGCCGAAAGTGTTGAAAATTCGCAATTGTGAGCAGCGAGATGCGCGCAATAGGAGGGGTGGTAGGTTTTTGTGCTATTTAAAAACGGTCAATGAACGACTAATATCATTTCTAACCTCAAAAGTTGCGTTGTAATTTATACATCCGCCCACACTTTCACTCCGAGCATAGGAATAATATGGTACCATAGCGAGACCATTGAGCTCTACCTGAAATTAGCTCTACCTGAATGATTTCACAGTGGATATGAATAATACTCATATCGTCGGAAAAATAATCGCACAAGCATGCCACGATACCAAGAAGAGCAATTAAGTAACGAAAGTAAACACAGGACATGAACGTGGCATTCACTCTCACTCTGCTTGGCGCAGTATAGGCAATGATTCTGCGCCCGCGTCCCAGAGTTCACCACGAAGCCCTAAATTTCGTATACATTTGATATGATCTTCAAGCGATTCTTGATTGGAAAAGTCAAGACTTTTCTTGACTTCAGGCGATTTTTGACAGGCTTTGTGAAGCGCAAAAATGGTTTATGTTACATTAAGCACTGTCATTATCCTCGACCCCTATCATCGTCTCCTTTCATCGGCCTTTATCCTCGACCCCCCCTCTTTTCTTGCCCTGTAATCGGCCTTTATCCTCGACCCCTCTCTTCGGGCCCTATCATCGGCCTTTATCCTCGACCCCTCTCTTCGGGCCCTATCATCGGCCTTTACCTTCGTCACCTATCCTCGCCCTCATCCTCGTCGTAGCCTCGTGACCGGAGCCTTTTGACTGTAACTGTAGCCTAATGACCATAACAATTTTCACCCTAGGGCAGAACCTGTTGAGGCTACTTTACAGTTACAAAACATTAGGCACCATTGAGCCTCTAGCCTGCCGATGTAATTAGGTTTTTAATCAGATTGTTGTTATAGCTGAGCTTGAAACATGAGCTTGTTAAAGCTGAGCTCTTTACATATGCAGACCAGACTTAACCCTAAAGCATGGAATAAAATGAATATTTCAACTCTATTGATCCTATGTAACATCTTTCAAACGATCTAAATATACATAAAAGTTGTATTCATATAGGTTTTCTTCAAAACTGGCGGTTAATTGAATAAAAAAGTTTTTGAAAACGGCAAATGTTGAGAATTTTTTCGGTGAAAATTTCATTGGTTAAGGTTTTCATTGATTCCAATATAATTCTTTAATAAATATAGAGACACTTTCTTCATTACAGCTCCTCATTGTAGCCTTAAAAATTATTACAAAATTAGCATCACATATAATTCAATGCCAAGACGTGCGAACCAAGAAAACATAGCAAAACACATTGCTGATAATGTAAATGTATCCTTCTCTAAAAATCGGGAATTGAATACAGGAGATCGCTAACAAATATCATGGAAGAGAAGCAAGGTTCGTTGGCCTGAGGTTACAGCAGTGCGAGGTCATCCCGGTGAGAGGCAACAGGTTAACTTTATAAAATGCAACCAATGCCCGCGTGGCGCTTATAGCGTGTTGTTGTTGCTGCTGTGTCAACAAGTGATGAAGCCAGCGTAGCTTATAGCGTGTTGTTGTTGCGGCTGTGTCAACAAGTGATGAAGCCTGCGTAGCTTATAGCGTGTTGTTGTTGCGGCTGTGTCAACAAGTGATGAAGCCTGTGCCTGCGTAGCTTAATTATAGCGTGTTGTTGTTGCTGCTGTATCAACAAGTGAGAAGCCTGTGCCTGCGTAGCTTATAGCGTGTTGTTCTTGCTGCTGTATCAACAAGTGATGAAGCCTGTGCCTGCGTAGCTTATAGCGTGTTGTTCTTGCTGCTGTATCAACAAGTGATGAAGCCTGTGCATGCCTGCGGACGGGTCTTATAGCGTGTTGTTCTTGCTGCTGTATCGACAAGTGATGAAGCTGCATAGCGCTAAGAACAAATTTTTGCCCCTTGTTAAAGCTGCTTTATCAATGACTTTGGCATTTTTGTCCCTGACGCAGACCCTTGTTTAATTAAATACTTGTAATTTGAAAGTTTTATGTGCCTATTGAACACTCGTATAAGGAAGGTATTTAATTTCTAGCGTCGAAGTTTATTTTCATTCTAATTTTATTTTCATTCTTATTCACCATAAATAAAAGAAAATTTCACCAGCACATACAAAAGAAGAATAATGAAATTCTGACAATTATAAAGACAAAGAACTGTCATTACCGAATAAGATCATTTTTCGACCTTTTTATTCCACTTTAAGATTTTTTTGGCATTCGAATTTCGCAATGATGTACATACACAAATTCCTTTGCTTTTTGAAGGGAGCTGACTAACCATGCTATACATTTCAACCGCAAAAGATCCAATATTGATTCTGCAAGTCACGCGGAATATCGGAGCTTTTCTTTTAGGTTTTCCCGTAACTTTTTGACCCACAAAATTCGGAGCACAGACCGTCAGCTGTGCTGTGGTTTGGCAGACCCGTTGGCTGGCCTTCAATTGCTGCTGACGGACTTTACTGAGATGAATAACTTACAATAACTACATGTTTCTCTCTGAATAACATCTCTTTGCCATTCATCAAAAATAGCGCTACAGGCGTAACGCTATTTCGACTTAAAATATTAGGTGATCAGTTGTAGGTGATCTTGGAGTGCAGTAAAAATGAGATGTTTGTAAAGATAATATATAATATTGTACGTAATATATATGAAGTTCAACTACTTTGTTGCGGAAATAAAATATTTTAGAACATACCGTATTGATATTCACTGCATGGATTGCAGCTTCACATATAAATCGAGCTTGGGTTTGCTATCGATTTGTTCTCAGGTCATGTGCATAAATTGAAATATGACACCGCACTCCTTTGAAAATAAGGAAATTCGAGTTAGATATATTTTTTCATTTTCATATTTAATTTATGTTTAATAATTATCGAAAAACCGGAACCAAATGTGAATTACATGCTAACTTGAAGAAGCTTTTTGTATGCTGCCTCATTTTAATTGAAAATCTAATCTTTTCAGTGTCAGAGAAAAACAGCAAAGTTTAACTTACTTCAAAACTTCCTATATCCAAGGATATTACCCGGCCAATCTTTTCGCTGAAGCAATCACACGGTAAGCTCATAATTATTATTGCCTTTCTGATGCGCTCTCGAAACATTTCGAATTTCAGTTTAGTATCGAAAAATTCATTTCATTAATAATGCTAAATTTTAATTTCAGCGTAAAATTTTAATTTCAGTGTGTTCAATTCAGAAAATTCAGTAGAGGCTTTCAGTTCGAGTTCGGAAGTCAAGTTCATAAGTTCGAAATTCTTCTCTTTGATCGTCCATTTTCAGTTAAATCAACTCAATTTTTCAGATGAAGATTACGTATCAAATTAGGAAATACTATATTGTTAAATATTCTTTTGTCAAATGAAATAATAATATACAATTCATTAAAAAGAATATCATGAAATATAATTCAAATGATTTAATAGGACTCGATTATTAGATATTTCGTCGACGACATAAGTAATCTTATTAATATTCTTATAAAAAAATAACCAAACGACACAATAATGAGCATGAGCTTACGAGAACACGAGAATACCATCATTACGAACATTAGTGTACGAGCATTATGAACACTAGTGTACGAGCATCATGAACATTAGTGTACGAGCATCATGAACATTAGTGTTCGAGCATCATGAAAATGAACATTAGTGTACGAGTATCATGAACATTAGTATACGAGCATTATGAACATTAGTATACGAGGATCATGAACACTAGTATACGAGCATTATGAACATTAGTGTACGAGCATTATGAACACTAGTATACGAGCATTATGAACATTAGTATACGAGGATCATGAACACTAGTATACGAGCATTATGAACATTAGTATACGAGCATCATGAACAATAGTGCACGAGCATTATGAACATTAGTGTACGAGCATTATGGACATTATACGAGCATCATGAACACTAGTATACGAGCATTATGCATGTACTGTGCAGCCCTGAAAGGAGATGGTGAGGAGGCGAGGGGTCGAGCTGCTGCTGGTGCTGCTGGTAGCGGCGCAGGCAGCACTGCTGACGGGGGCGCAGCAGCAGCGCTGGAGGTGGCAGAGTAATGAGACTGTGACCAGTGACGCTCTCGCAGGGTCGTCACAAACGCAGGTATTCATACGCCAATCCCCTAACAAAATTTAGAGTCGCCGTGGCTTCTGGTAACTCAAATCAGAAGCTGCCGTGTCTGTAAATTTTCACTGGGTTTGCGCCTATTAAAATAATGGATTGGCATATCAAAGTACATCACGGCATTAACACTTTAAAATGAACATGGGTCTACAAAGACGATGAAATTGAAAATTAATGTACACCATGGCTATTAATGAAAATGAATTTGTTCATTTAAGTACACAACGGGTTTTAAATATAGTGAATTGGAGCATTTAAGAATAGCATGGCTTTCAAATATGATGAACTTAATTTTAAGTAAAATAATGCTTCCAGAGATAAATAATCGATGATGCATTAAAAGCTGCATATTCACGTCCTCTCGCGTTGTTAACTTGTTCACGTGGTTCACGAATCGTTTCTGCTGATGATTGGCAGAAATTTAGTGGATTTTTGCCAGTGCACTAACAAAGTACAGATTGATTCGCGGAAACTTCCTGATTTGAAAGCTCAATAAAATAAGAACTATTAAAGATTTCATTAAAATATAAATTTTATTGGAAAAGATAATATCCGAATTCTTGTGTCATTTACTTTTAAAGACGACATCGGACGAATAACAGTCCCCATTGTCAATGAATTCAGATAGTCGATCTTTTGAAGTCCCCCGTTCAACTCGCTGAAGCATATTGACGGGTATGTTGCATGGCGATGGCTTGGCGTATGTTGTTCTTCAAATGAGGTTGTGTCCTTGGACAGTCATTGTAAACAATTGATGATAACCCCATAAAAAATCACATGGACAAATTGGGCCGGTCTCGTCTTTCATGTGAATTACTCCCCACCCTTTCCTACAACATCTGGCTGCTTGGCGCGAAAAAAAATAAGAAGTTTCCAGGAATCACCCTGTATTTGTATTCAACGCTTATTGCCATTTTTAAAACGAATCTACATCTTCCTAACAGGAAAGACAAGAAATTTACAGCCCAACTTCCAGCAAAAAAGACGCAGTCGAGGATGGCAGAGAAAGTGGTTTGTCTGACGCGTCGCCGGCAGAGCAAGAAAATTCATTTGCACGCAAAGTAGGAAAACCGAGCAAGAAAAATGTCAAGCCGGCTGCAGCCGAACCAAGAATTTTCCACAAAATCAGGGAAAAACTTTGTGGCCTTGGATTCCATGAGGTAAGATAAGAGATTAAGATCCGACATGAACAGCAGAGCATACCAGATTATGAGTAATTTAATGTCGTGTTTACATTATGCGTAATAAAATATCGTATTTTAATATTTTGCATACTTTTAATAAGAGAGGAGACAATGATTTTCGCTCATTTAAATGAAGTATGGGCTGGCATAATGTAGGTACCGTACACGTTTGTTTTACTTGCCACTTTAGTTGTCAGCTCAAGCCGGCTGCAGCCGAATTGCAACTGGATTCGGCCTACAAATCTTTACTGGAATTATATTTATTCATGCTTCCAACGAACTCAGTTGATGCAGTCACGCATGATAAGCAGTAAGCAAGAGTTGTTCATTTATCCAATTACAACATTACAGTCAGTTGATAAAAAACACTGTACAGCTGTTGGAAACTTAATAAATCACAATCAAAAATTTTTCGTGAATTTTAATCGTTTACCAAAAATTTAATAATTAAGTCCATTTGCGAAAATTTCTTTGCAGTGCGACGATGGGTACGTTGAAGTTGAATATGTGCAACCCGTATACGTACAGCCTGTGGGCGACCCTATCCCCATCCTGCCGTCGGATAAGGGAGGAAAAGATAAGGCTGAAGCCATCGCCCAAATCAAGGGGCAAATACACAATAAAGTCAAGGACATCAAGAGCGCCTTGGCGTACAAGGCTAGTCAAATCTTCGGCAAGGCGCAGTCCTACTTTGCTGCTAAGGCCAAGGGTAACGGTGGGGGTTACGATGATGGAGATGGTTATGGCGGTGGAAGTGCTTATGGAGGTGGAGGTGGTGGCTACGGTGGCGGAGGTGGTGGCTACGGTGGCGGAGGTTACGGAAATGGACACAGCAGCGGTTTTTCTGGCGGTTCAGGCAGCCATGGAGGGGGTGGTTATGGCAGCGGTGGATTAGCTATTGATCTATCATACGGAGGAAGTGGAAGTGGAGGAGTAGGGAATTATGGAGGCGGAGGAGGCGGAGGAGGTTTTGATGGTGGTGGAGGTGGTGGTCTCGGAGACTACGGAACAGGAGGTGGCACCGGATACTCTGACAACCACATTTCCTCGTATTCAAGCAGCGGAGGCGGTGGAGGTGGTAGCTCAGGGTATGGTCCTGGCGGGGGTGGCGGCTTCTTGGCCGCTGTGCCCATTAAGGGCGACTACGGCCATGGCCATGGAGGGCAAAACAGTATCGGAGGATATCAAGGAGGTAATGTATTTGGTGGAAGTGTGTCTGGGTATGGTGGTGGAGGAGGAAGTGGTTATGGCCAAAGTGGTGGTAGTGGTTACGGACAAGGGGGTGGTGGGGGTAGTAGTTATGCGCAAGGTGGCGGCTTTCATGGAGGAAGTGGAGGCTTCAGCCAAGGCGGAAATTTCGTGGATAATGGAGGGAGCTATGGCGGTGGTGGAGGAGGCTTCGGTGGCCACGTGGACAGCAGCTATAGTGGGAACCGAAGAGGCAACGGTCACGGAAATAATTTCAAACGCGCTCCAGTTTTAGACAACGTTATCCATAGTTCTTATTCAAGAATAGAAGACGAGAACGAGTACAATAATAACCAAATCTCAGGTTCATCACTTGATCCAATAGGGTCTCATGCATCCGTCAAATCATCAGCAAACTCAAAACGCGAGACTAACCAAGGCGAAGTTGATGGATTTAAAGATGATCAATTCCGACATTATCAGTCTTCTGATGTTGTCGGGCAGATCGATGCAAATCGAGAGAAATCCCTTGAACCACATCACTGTACATGCGTGAACGAACAAGAATGCCCCGAGCATTTGGTTGTTGATTTGACGTACCTTCAAAACGATGTAGGTGATTTTCAAGATCCCAGAAGCTCACCAACAGATGGAGATAACGTTTATGCTGTCTTTGACGAGATGCCTTCACACACCAGAAGTAAACGAATGTCCGAGCTGGACTATGACTTTCCGGTCGACCAGCTGGCAGTGGAAACCGAGTCTACGGAGCAGCTGGTCTTCACTGGTCATTTAATCCAAAGTGAACGGAAAGATGGAAGTTCTCCGCATCGGAGAAGAAAACGACAGAGGCCCCTGAGGGATCAGGCTAGGGATAACATATTTCAGGTGGACTTCTCAGAACCTGAATCGGTGAGTACTGGAATCAGACTCGTACGAGCTGCCTTGTAGTATTACAGCACAAATAATGTTAAGCCGCGCGCGGCAATATGATTTCACGTCATTGGCATAGGATCATTCAATTTAATAAGAGTGACTTGAACATTCTGGGAAATATGTACTGTTTGAATTAATACTTATGGAAAAAATTAGTATCATATCCTCATATTTTTCAGAACTATGCCAATGTAGTGAAGAATCTATGCAAATTCGAGGTTCGACATTTGATTGATTTTTCATTGATATTCAACATTTTCTCGAGACTCTTTGCACAAATTTCACTCACGCATGTCTTCGCACGCTACTGACCTAAGGTGGCATTGCTGAGACTAGGATCAGAGCACCGTAATATCCGAGTGAGGAGATCAAGCACGACGAAAAACGACGAGACAGGTAAAACTGAAGAAAGTACAAAGGCAAAGACGACAAACAGCAAGACCGCCTCCACGACAACAGAAGAAAGCAGGGGAGAGCTTGCTGAGACTGCTGACAATCCTGCTTCTCCTGGAGTGCAGGTGAGAGAGTCATTGTGTCACGCACTTATTTCTGCATATCTATACGACTGTTTCGTTGTATGTCTTCTTTCTCTATGTTCTAGACGATCTTCAAAAGCAAGGCATGTATTTTTTTAGTGAAAAAATGAAAACATTCATACAATATTCTCTCTTTGAACGGCGAGTGAATCGTTGTTGGTCTGTGAAAAAAAGAAAAAATTCAGAAGAGTATAAATATTTATATATATGCTATTAGAATTGTGTTGAAAAATTTAAAGTTCGTTATTTCCTTCACTGCTGCCAAACATTTGAAAAATTCAAGACTGAAACTTTGGTAATATAGGACAAGTCTTAAGTATAACTAAACGTTGAAGAAATATCCATTAAATATAGCACCATACAGTATTTTTACGCTAGCTGTTGATTATGAAGATAAGCTTCAAATTTCGACTCTACACTAAACCTCGACGGTGGCTTCCAGTGAATGTGTCCGATTCTCTCGATTTGAAATTTTTGGCCGTCCATTTCTGGAACAGTTTCTATCAAATGTTTTATTTATCCTACTATTTCTTTTTGCAGCGATTTTTTAATAACTTCTTTGGAGGCTTTAAAGGCCTTGGAAGTGGATTGGATGGTATCGGAAACGATTTTGGCGGTTTCAAGCTGAAAGACAAGATTGCACCTTCATTTGGGGTCACTTTTGGCACCTTACCTAACAATGTTCCGACACCCTTCGGTGGTTTCCGTGACAATAATCCATTAGGACTTGACGTTGGACCTGTTTCAATTAATCCTTTCGTAGGCTTTAAAATAGCAAAGCTGAATGGAAAACCGTTATTTGTCCCGTCACTAGATTTGCTAGTCACGCCAAATGCAAAGGGGACGAAAAAAATTCTAGATTTGAAAAAACGAAAATATAACCAAGGAGGATACAGAGACGATGTATATCTTGAAGAAGCTGTAGACTTTTCAACTCTTCCTTACTATCCTGGACCAAGTCCACCACCTCATCCCGGTTATCCCCCTCATACCTACCCGGGTCCTTATGCTCCTCTCCCCATTCCTCCTTCGTATGAACCATCACCATATCCCCCAGGGCAATACGAGTCATCGCCATATCCTCCAGAGCCGTACGCGCCCCAAGGTCCTTATCATACACCACCTGAACATCCCCAGCATGTCGTAGAACACCAGCCTTCTCCTTACCCCATACCAGCGCCGGTGGAACCAGTGCCACCAAACGTCTACCCAATTGGTCCTTCCCCACAGTACCACCAGCAAGGCCCTCACCTCTCAGATCACCCAGCACATCCTAGGCCTATTGCAAACCCTTATGAGGCAGCTGAACAAAAGCCAGGGGTACAATTTCATCACCATATTCACGAACACACGCACTTGCATAAGGGTCTAGAAGGGTCGGGTGGTTACCCTGGCCACTTCCGAGAAGCCTCTTCAGATGAAAAACCTTATTTGCACACAATTGAACATCTGGGGCGACAATTCCGAGCCACCGTCGCAACAAATCCAATGTCTCAGCAAACTTTCGCGACACAACAAACAAATAAAAAGCTCAGTCCGAATGAAGAAACTTTCAGGATTTCAAGCTCTAGGCCCACGTCATTGAGAACTCAATCGTCCTCAGTTTTCAGACCTTCATCCATTAGAACTCAGCCACAAAACCGACCCCTGCCGACACGTCCAAATTCAGATAATCCTCGCTGGGCTGTTGCGAGTAATGTGAGAAAAAACAAGCAAGTCGATGACGGTTCAGGATCTTTTTCATTTCCAAACGAATAAAAAATATCATATAATTGTACATAACATGACATAACTCATGCGCTTTGAATCTGTAATGCTTACCCTGATTTCTTGTCTAACATTTTGATACTCACCCTTACCCTTGTCCCTTGCCTTTCTGGGCCCAAAGTCGTTCAATCGCATTCTTCATATAATAAACGCGACTTCATCATTAAATTCGTACACTCTACTAATATATATTGAAGTATGTAAATATTGTATTTAGTAACCTACAGTAACATTACACAGAAATAAAGTCCAATTTTATTTATTCACCAACATCATCTAGTCAAACTTCATCTTTTATTTAAGAGAATGCTTTGAAAACTGTGATATAAACAACGGAGCTCTATAAATTGGCAGAATGATAATTTAAGGTTGAAAAAATGGGCTGCTCTATTGAATAAATCAGTGTTCAATGTACATTTTTTTAATAAAAAATATTAACTAATTACCATTGGTGATGAATGTATAAATAGACATAAATTTCACATAAACCTGGTATGATGAGTATTTAATACCTAATTAGGATAAATAAATCTAGCATGGTATAAAGACAAGCATCAGAGATGATGCAAAGTACTAAGTTGCATCAACAACGGCGTAAGCAAATCAATTGCCAAGCCTGCATTGCCACGAAATTCCAATGATTTTAACGAAACGTTTTCCTCCTATAACGCTTTAACTAGGATGTAAATCATACCGAAATATTATATAAACTTCAATGCTTGACTTCAGCACAACTAACTGCTTGTCTTCAACTAACAGATGATCTCTGCAAACACGAGTCCGATTTTTCCTCTGCCTGCAACACCAAGAATTTTCACAAGCTTTTCAAACATATTTTCGAAGTTTCCTCTCGGTTTCCAGCTAAAATATCCTCATGCTAATCAACCTTACGTTCCTCTGTTACTCAGGCCGTTCATAGTTCCAACGCATATTTCATCACCCCATTCTCCTCCTGCGGCAGAAAGTCCCATTATTATTCATCATCAAGAAGCATCAGATACTTCATTCTCAGATGCCTCAGGGACACACGATACTGATCCTGATATTACACACTTGGCCATACCTAACTCACACACAACACACGTATCTCATGGACGTCCAAATCACGCTCCTACCCTTAACCCATTTTCTGATAATAGTCCAAGTCATCCGCACAATCAGGATGACAATCAGAACACAGACATCCATATTCATTTTCTAACGGATGATCATGATGAAGCCGGTATAAAAAATAACTTCAATCGTTTCTCGGGTTCCCTCCCGCGTCCGATAGATAATTTGGACGAAGCTAGCAGTTCTACGAAGCATACGACCTCAACTATGCAGTACCACCCAACCCTGTTAGAGCCCTTACCACCTGCTCCAGTTGTAGTTCGCGCTAACACGGACGTTCACATGAGTCTTGTGGACGCGAGGGCTTACGTTGTAAGGATCAGGCATCCAGAAGTCTCCGCTATCTCATTCTATAATCGATCTCCAACCACGTTCAGGATTCCTGAAGCTTTAGTCACTTTCAATCCTCGGTTTACAACTAAACACGATATCATCGCCAATATATTAGGTAAAGATAAGCATGGATTACGGTCTACCCTGAGCAGAAATCCATCAGTAAGCCAGCCAAGTCCACAAGGTTCCAAGCAAACTTTATACCGCCCTTTGCTTGTCCCCACCAGGACAAGAATAGATAACAAACCAAGTGGTGCGAGTCGTACGCCAGTTCAGTATAACAGAGCCAATTTATTCCAACCCAACAATGGGCTTCACAAGAGGCTTAATTCGACTCAGCCTCATGGCTACATCATCTTCGAAGAACATGGCGTCGGTCGCCATGATGGCTCTCAGTTCCCCAATAAGAATGTAAATTCACAATCGTACAATAATTATTCCTCATTAAACCTGCAAAAAGACACAAGTGGAGGCATCAAAGATGAGTCATTGCCAATTGACCCTCAAAATTCCAACATGACAAAAGCTTTAACAACGCCGAGCAGAATAATTTTCAACCCAATTATATATAAAACTGGTACAATAAAAACAGACATTTATGATGACACGGCGATATTGCGTGCGGATTTTGTTGCTGACGACTGGTTCAGTCCGCTGGCGATATCTACAGTGAACGATAAGAAAAACATAATCCCTCATTATACAACATCATATTCACAGCCCAATTCATCTCCTCAAATGAATATTCCTTCTTCGTCTAACCATATTTCCCGTTTATCGCATTTAGTTCTGAATAAAGACACCCTTTTGCATTTTGGACCAGTTGAAAAGCCTGCAAACTTCAACTCACAACTCTTGCTTGCAGATGACACGCATGTTTTTCAGTCACTATTGCTCCCTGCGTCACAAAGTCATGATAATTTTTCACTTGTATCTACACCCTTCAAATCTTTGACTACTGAATCACTCTATAAATTTCCCACTGTACAACCTGACTCAGTGGCACGACTATCAGCCGTTCAAGAGCTTTTGCATGACAAACAAAAGCTGACGCCTGACGACACGCATGACAGACAGTCGAGGACGGGAGCTTGTCAGTACGTAAGCTGCCAAAAGTTGGCTCTAGTTTGTGCCGCCGGAGCTCATCGGCTTCCTCACAGACAGAAGGTGAGTGAAATTATACGAACACAAACTTGTCACTCATGCAAATGCTCACGATTTTTTTTAAATAATAAGAAATGTACTTACGTTTTAGTGCCGGCTTCTCAACCTTGGATTCCACTAAATTTCTTCGATTCCACTAAAGTTTAGCCTATGTATTCGTAGTTGAATGTTGCATTGCATTTACATATATTTCTCAACGCCCGATATATTTCTCGACACTTACTAAATAAAGGCGTTGAGATTGCTCACGAATTAGAACGGAATTCACAATAAGGTCAGGAATTTGGCTGCAATGGACACCATAAATCACGGGTGGGGAGCTTTTACATACACAGTGAGCAAAATTGAAGAACTGAGGCGTTTACACAAGCAGGAAACTCAGATCAAGAGTAAAAACTCCTATACAGGATGATTAACCTTTATTGTTGAAAATATATATAAAAACTGCATTTGTGAAATAAACTCTATTTTGGTTTGAGTGCTGAGGGTAAAATATATTGGGGAAATAAATCAGTAGATATACCGGTAACATTAGCTTAATATGCTCTCAATGAGAATAAACGGTAAGCAGAAAACGTTTGTAAAAGGTCCAATTTGAGTCACTAATCACACGTTGGGGCATTCGAATCCTGCGAATTTATTTGCTAGATGTGCCTGCATAAAATAGCTCAGCAATTGTAAAATGTCGATGACCAAATATGAAGATCGAATATTCTCCAGGGATGTTAGACCTTCACACACACACAGAGTAGTTTTAAAGCTAAAAAGTCTACAGATATTGCGAGTTCACCCATATATTATAGAACTAAATCTTTCGCATGTGCAGTTACGTCTTACGTAAATATTTTTTAATGATTTTTGTTCGTCATGTTCGTCAGCGACAAATTCCACCTTCCGACAACCTGCCTTTCACGTGTGGTCTGTACGAAGTTTGCTGTCGCATCACTGCCACTGTGCCGGCCACTCATATCTCGGTAAGCTTCGTTCAGTTCGAGATTTTAGCCATTCGATTTTGCATGTAATATTTACGTATATACCCGCTTTTCGAGTTAATGTTATTGTCTTATTGAACTAGAGTTAATCAAACATTTGATTCATCGATCATGTGGATAGCGCTGATGAACGTGGATGAAAACTTCGACATGTTTGAAACTATTTTTATACCAATTGAACGTTTTGCGCCCTCAGCTCAACATAGCAGTAGTAAAGCGAGCTACGTAGCAATTCGATCAGCACCATGATTTAGTTTACATAATATTCAGTAGCTCGGTAGAATTGAAGGTATTATAATTAATTACCTTAGACTTCAGGGCGGTAAAACCAATGTAAACAACATTAATTCGCTCAACTTCAATAAAACGCGCGATTGCATACAGCCACGACACCCCGCTACGTTAATTAACACTCAAGAAGTGCAGCTTCATTCGTTAGCGCCGGTCCGCCGGAATTAATTTCATTCTGACACCTAAAAAACTGGGTTCAGACGTCGGACGAGGAAACAACTGGGTTTATGAATTATTTTAGTAAGTAAAAGTTAAAATTATTTTATAAATACAATCGAATGACATTTCAGACGCCGGTCAGCCCGGCGAGTGGGGCACCATCTGGGGGCGGAGCAACATGCGGACGCAGCGAGCCGCTCTCTGTATCAGGCAGGATAAGCTCGTCTGCCGGCCCTGATGCGGCCGCTACCGGGCACGCTGTTTTTGGTGGGGATTTAAATGAACTTTCATCAACTACGGAGCTTAGTAAATGTGTTGGATCATTGAGAAGTAGAAATTTTATATATAATATATACAGAAGTATAGTGAAAATTAATGAGGAAGTGAAAAAATGCTCGTTACAGTTGATACTATAAAAATCTCATAAATACTGTTCCATATGCCTTATTTGGAGATACTTTATTATTATCCGTTTTGGAGACCCTTAATCGATAAGCAATAAACTACCATCACACCATAGTGAACACAAAATACTTAGTATACAGAGCTATAGAGAAAAATTCTCTATCATTTTTTCCGTTGAATTAAAGAATTAATTTTGAAACTTTCAGTGTTGGGCACTACTTCCAGTAGAATATAACATCAATGAATATAACATGTATAAAATAACAAATTAAACAAAAAAAATCATCCATTTCTATCATCATCAAATAACATTTTGCAGTTTATTCCCCACTATATTTATAAGTATAGCCAGTCACTTATACATCTGGCTGATCTATGTTCTTGAATCTAAAGCTTTATTTATACGTGTACAGAACATAATACTCAAACTGCAGTTGCAAAACTTCGCTACTTATGGAATCCTAATTTGAAGAGCGGCACATAATTATTTTTAGAAATATTAAATTAGAGCTCTAAGTTGATAATTAATTTACATAAAATCAATTTTCTTGGCAAATACAAGTGTAAATTTACACTAAATTAAAACAATTTGTTGCCGACCTTATTATCCGTAAGAATTTAAAAGCAAAGAATAGTCCACAAAAATTCATATCTTTATAGAAGATATGAGTTTTTGTGGACTATTTCATATCTTTATAGAAGAAAATTCATATCATATCCACATAGAAGAAAATTCATATCATATCCACATATATTAATTTTTGTGGACCATCCTTTGCTCTTAAATTCTTAGTTGATGATTAAATCATTTACCACTCGCCCTATGTCCGCGCGGCAGGCGAGTACCCGTGGCAGGCTGCGGTGCTCAAGAAGGAGGGCGTCGACAACGTGTACGTGTGTGCCGGCACCCTGGTGGACGCTACGCATGTGCTCACCGCTGCTCACTGCATACCAGGGTATGATGAGGACTGATATTATATAGTCTAGGCTATACCTTATGATTAGTGGTCTATACCTCATGATGAGGACTGATCTATTGTCTATTTCTTATGATTAGTGGTCTATACGACTATACCTAATGATGTGTAACACTCTATACATAACGTGTTGTATAGCTTTCTCTATACAGCATTCTCTGCATATCAGGGTATGATGTGGAACGCTCTATACCTTGGCCCCACTCCTAAAGTTGTGATGCGGTGACATTTGTGATAGAAATAGTAGCGTGATAATTACGAGAGAATTAATGGGCCTAGTGCTTAATTGACGTACCTGATTAATAATTATTTGTTGTCCATAATTGTTATAAACACAAAGGCACTTGAAGTACTTCTGCATGGATAGCATAGGTACCTATTGTGTTATTGATATACACTGTGCAATATTTTTCGACCCGATACGCAATGGAAGTCCGTGATGCAAATCTAACAAATATTGTGCAAAATTGACCATGTGGCGCATGATTGATGTTCCCGGTGGAAAGTCAATATGTCTGATGCATACTTAATGTACTTTATGCATAGTTTGATGTATCTGGCGCATCATTGACTTACATGCTGTATAATTAGAAGTACCTGACGCAGGTACCACGCATCAGAGATCCGAGTTCGTCTGGGAGAGTTTGACGTGAACCGCGACACTGAGTTTTATCCCCACATGGAGACCGACGTCACAGCCATCTTCGTCCATCCTGAGTTCTATCCCGGCAACCTCTTGAACGATATCGCCATCATCAAAATACAGCAGCCCGTTGACTTCAACGCCAAGTGAGCTCCGAAACATTGAGATAATATTCGATAATAAAAAACAGATTACCATACGAATCAATGACATTCTTATTTTTTGGAGAATAATATTTGAAAATAAAAAAAATTATGATATGAATCAATAACATTCTTAGTTACCTTGGAGAATAATATTCGAAAATAGAAAAACAGATTATGATACTAATGAATAACATTCTTATTTATTTTGGAAAATAATATTCGAAAATAAAAAAAAAAGATTATGATATGAACCAATAACATTCGTATTTACCTTGGGGAATAATATTCGAAAAAAACAGATTATGATACTAACTTATAACATTATTATTTTCCTTTGAGAATATTTTTAATGTTGTTGAACGATTGTCACTGAGCAGCCCACACATCGCTCCTGTCTGTCAGCCTCGTGCGAGCTCCGAAACTTTGTGACAATATTCAATAATAAAAAATAGCTTATGATACTAACAAACAACATTATTATTTAATTTTGAGAATATTTATAATGTTGTGTAACCGAGCAGCCCACATATCGCTCCTGTGTGTCTGCCGCGTGCCGGCGACGTGTTCAGCGGCCACCGCTGCTGGGTCACAGGCTGGGGCAAGGACGGCTTCACGGCGGCGGCTACCTACCAGAACACTCTTAAGGTACATCATGAATAAACATCATACTTTAGAATTAGATTTTTCGATCATTAGTGAAGATTGTGATGTAATGTCGGAGTGGTAGTCTGACGTTAGACATATTTCAGTCCCAGCCTTAATTTCGTCCTTTTTTAACACGTTTTTCTTTACTCAGCTTCGCGTTTGTTTGTTTGTTTGTTGTTAACATTGACAACGAAATTTAGCCCACTTCTAATTGCTCTAGAGATCTGAAATTCGGCATGCAGGCTATTTTTGCGTAAGAATTTCAGATACAATCATAAAAACTAGTAATTAGAGACCTAAATTAGCTTAATTGAGTAAAGTATATATATATATATAGGATATATATAATATGACGTGCGGGCGCTTACGTTATAGACGAGCAGGCGCTGACGCTGCGTATCATCGATACGTACGTCAAGTCAAGTAAATTGGCTCGCAACAACGTTTTTCATGTGTAGCAACGGACTAAAAAGGGGAAAATAATATACTAAAAAAAAACTTGAAAAAAAAACACTTTTTTCTTGTTGACTAAAAAGTAGAAAATAAATTATGCCTCGCCCCAAAAAACGTGGATCGGGCTGTACGTTCACCATAAAATTTCCAAAATTCGTGTGTTGTGTGCTTTTCGCTTTAATCATAAATCTGCCCGACACACGTTTTTTGGGGCGAGCTATAATTTATTTTCTACTTTTTAGTCAACAAGAAAAACGTTTTTTTTTAAGTATATTATTTCTTAATGCTTCTTGTAGGCGATTTCACGACTGCGATTTGAATAAGTATCGTATTTAATTAAAACTTTTCATTAAATTAGTCAATCATTATCTAACCTGAGCAAATTTTGTATCCATTATTCATTTGTTTGTTCCGTTTTCATTCAGGGAACCTGAGGTTGAGTGTAAATCACTCTTCAAAACTATATATATATCTGCACGCTGAAGGGACCTCATAAATGAGCATATAAGATGTCGGAGAATGAAAGCTAGTAACGCCTAAGTTCCCATCATGATCAATAGTCATCAACTATAAGGGCGAAAATAATACAAGACCCATCCTACACATTGCGCGTTCATCTGACACTAACAGTTAACTATTAATGGTCATAAAGAAGACTTATAAACCATGGCTAATACTTGGCTCTGTAGGAAGTGGACGTGCCAGTCCTGGAGGGCGGAGATTGCGAGCGTCGCTTGAGAACTACAAGACTCGGCCTCTCTTACCAGCTTCACCCTGGCATGTTGTGTGCCGGTGGCGAGCCTGGCAAGGACGCGTGTAAGGTGAGGCTTTTGATGTAGCATGAATAGAGTATCCTGTGAGTGAATTCCTGCCTGCGTTGAATAGTTATGGAGAGATCGGGTTTCAAAGGCCGGATTCCTTGTGGAATCAAGTCACGAATAGTACAAGAATCGGCAACACGCCATGGGCCTATTTCTTCAGTGCCGACACTTGTATTCTAATTATACACTTTCAAGAGTAACGCCGAAGAATTCTGGAACTTCTAGTCTTACTGTCCGGAGATCGGTGGGGTGGCGGAATCATTAAGAGTAGCTAGATTGTATCAGCAAGTTGCGGGTTCGATCCCCAGTTAGGAGTGGAAATTTTGTGATGTGTAGAGGTTATGAACAGGTTATAATTGGCCTAATCTTCAACGCCAATATTATTTCATCCACAGAAGACCTGCGCATGCATTCCCCTTGCCTTAGAGATGTCAAATTCGATGGAGTTGATCTAAAAAAAATCTTGTAATATTTTGGTGTTCTGTCCTCTCACAAGATGCTATGGCAGTGAGATAGCTTGCAATAATTAAATATTTTATTCCTTATACTTAAGCAATGATTTTGTGTCGCAGGGTGACGGTGGAGGTCCGCTGACATGCGTGGATGCCTCGGGACGTCACAGGCTAGCAGGCCTCGTATCGTGGGGCATAGGGTGCGGCACGCCCGGTATACCTGGCGTCTATGTGAACGTGCAACACTACCTCGCTTGGATCCTTAGGGTGGCGCTCTGAGTGACGTACCATGTGACAATAAATCCAGCAGCTGTCTCAAACAATCGTTAACTATGGAAAGATCGGGTTCCAAAGGCCGGATCCCTTGTGAATCAAGTCATGAAAAGTAAAATAATGGGCAATAGGCCATGGGCCTATTTCTTCAGTGCAGACACTTCTATTCTAAAGAAAGAGTCGTTTCGGCACCAGCCCTCAAACAGCAACCAACTATCCAGTCGTTCACTACTAGAGAATTACGTGATAATATAATTTATCCAGTACCTTAATCCGGATGATTCTTGCCCTGAAGGCGACAGGCCAAATCTTCGACGCCGAATATACTATACTAAAGCTTCATGTTGCCAACGGTGAACAACTCAGTCGTCTCGCCAACACAAATGTACTTTCGGCTGTCAGAACTTTTATTCCTGGTATTGGTAGTTCTCATTTATATACTATAGAATCGACCGTGCGGCTCACTGTAGCTGACGCCTGACGCGGGCTGGGACTTCAATTCTTTGGTCAACTGTCGACGTCAGAGCTTAATTAGTCACAGCTGATCCTGATAAGAGAGTTTAATGTACATGCCATTTGAGTGAAGTTCTGATCCTTTGAATTTCTCTGGTCTTATTTGAGATTTTAGGGAAACCAGTAGCCTAAACTTTGTTATTGGAAATTTTGAGTGAATGAGAAATTCTGGAAGCTGTAATTGAAAAGCTCACAAGTTCATGTTGTCGTGACGGAAATGCATGAATTATAACGGCATGATCTTGAAATGCACAAAAATTTCCCGGATTCCGGGTATTGATGTAACTGAAAATTGTAGATACGGTAAATCTTAATTAGCCTCGACTTTGCGTCGGAATAGTACGAACAAGAAGCTAGTGTACGGTACCTGCTGTGAATGAATGATCAGAGAATTTTTCAATTTCTAATTATTCTCACTAATGAATCTAAGTATGAAAAGAATCGTGGGGTGTGGACGATATAACATTGGGTGATAAAAATACGTTATCGAAATAATTTCTGGGCGGATTAAGATAGACGGAGACAGTGAATCGCAATTGCTCTCTTGATGTCAGAAACGTCTTTACAATTTTCTACAGGACTGGATATTTTCTCCCGTTATTATGTAGAACTAAAACCCCTCATATCAATTTCAAGAAGCTCGAAACTCAAACGCTGCTGTCGTTCTACATCGTCACGCACACTTGTTACTAATATAAAATGTACTTTACCTCTTAGTTTTTAGTTCTATGCAATACTTGAAATGTCTAGTATTTATTATACATATTACTTAACATATACATAATTATTTGAACGAGTCTATGAAGAAGACAGCACAGAAACGACTACTTCCGGCTACAGAGATGTAATTTCTTAACAATTGGGTCAGGGGTCGTAAGTCCTATCACGATCGTAATTCTTACGTTCGTGTTAGTGACTGGTAATTTAACAAGAACAGTGAAACTTTTCTGTCAGAAACACGATGTCACAATTAGTACTCAGTAGTAGGTGACCCGGCCACGGAGCATTAGCCACATGTGAACAATACTGATAATAAATAATAATTTACTTACACTACTTTCATTTCACCTTCACACAATGGACATGAATATCAGGAATTAGTAACTTTCTGTGAATTGACCGAGACAAACTCGGTCACCAACACATCCCAGCATGAGACAAGAGTGAGAACTGGGGAAATTTGATCTTAATTGAATTAAAATTAATGACAATCAGACCGCTACTTCCAACAAAATAAATTTCCATTGAATATGATGGAGACTACCGGTATCAATTACACATTTATATCACAGCAGAGAAGACTCGACTTTCTCTTTTCGACTTACAGGTATGTAGAATGAATGACTTTTTAAAATAAAATATTCCATAAGTTTAAAGATCGCAAAGAGCAACATCAGAGCATTTCCTCCGCTGTTAGCAGGATTTGAATAACAAATTAATACAACGCAACTGATGTCATAGCAATACTGAAATCAAAGATTATTGAAAAAATCGTTACCAAATAATCAAGCCGAGTCCAGTAAGTTAAGTATGTTTCAATTATAAACGATGCAGAACAAAAAGTCATCGTATAGATGCAACTAGCACGTCGTAATTAATTTCACAAATGTTTGGCTCCTAGGCACCCAGATACAGTTGCTTAAATTATCAATTTCCAAAAACCGAATACATTGTCCTTATCCCAGATTCACACTGAACAAAATTTGGTAATCTATCAATCAAAAGACAGTAGAGGATACATCATAACGAAAAATTAATTTAGTACTCCTTTTTGTAAAAAGTAATCGATTAATGAAAAATATTACCTGTTAGAGTAGGGCTATCAGGGTGAGGTTATTTGTGTGCAAAGTTCAGAGCGTTTCTAAACGTATATGCAGATTTAATCAGGTTTTCAATTATATTCTTATGTTGAACTATTGCTATCCTGGTTTCCTAAGGAGCTTACCATTCTATGACCAAATAAATTTCACCATTGTTTAATTCATAAATGATCACTGACAAAAGTAACACCATGTGTTTATTTCAGGTATAATTATTAAAGAAATAGTTGCAGATTGATAACATTGAAACCATAAACACAAACATAACACTTATTGCGCTTGAGGTTCAAATAGAAAGCACAAGTTTAACAATAATTTAACCGGAAAACTCTTCCAATGTAATTATTTTTATTGATATCTAAGAGATCACAATCTCCCAGTTGGGTTGAAGACAATACCACGCTTGAGAAGCTCCACTACAATGGTGTTGATGTTGCGACAATCATCTGGAACAGGGGTCATCATTACGCCTTACTATCAATATTTGCTACATATGCTGTATGATCATAAGAAAAATGTACACGATATCAATTATTTTACCTACTAAAATGAGTGAAATTACATCAACAAATCTTTGAATGCAACAAATCTTTGAATGCAAAGTTATTTTGATAATAATGCAGTCAATAATTTGCTAGATTTTAAAAAGGATGACCCCTACCAATGCCTCGGTGGAGTCTGCCTTCAAAGCTGAGTGACAAGCCGTGCAGCATCTCAGTTAAACTGCGACAGTAGACTGATGTCGCTGCACAGTATGACTGTAACAAAATTGGTTAGAATTAATTGGGTTGCTGGCTGATGAAATTGAAACTCTAGGAAGAAATTTGATCAATATGTGGTCTACTTGTAGATAACATTTTCTTGCTAACGAGCAGTTACTGCTACCTACTTATTACATATAATTAAACAAATTTTATTGGGTTTTAAATGTTAGACAATGTAGAAAAGGCTTGAATATTTAGGCATGAAAGAACATTCACCAGGTGAATAAAATAATTGATAAGTGATGTTAAAAAAATGTGGCACAAATATTAGATCTCCTTACACATAATTTTATTTTCTGATGGAAATATTGAGGAAAGTGAAACTGCAATAGATAAGTTACAGAAAAATATTTAGGAAAGTGAAACTGCTATAGTAGATAAGTTAAAGAAGTTTGCCATAGGTGAAGTTTTTATGGTACCTACCTTTTTTAAATTATGCCACTGCCGCAGGGCTGGAGGTACAGGAATGCCCTCCCTCCTGCACTGATTTGGTAGCATTGTTTTGAGGTCCCAGTCTCCGCAGGTGATGGGCAGACAGCTCGAGGCCCCCACCTCCTTCTCATACCAAGCATTGAAGCGCTTCAGCACCTCCGCAAACACTCCACTGTTGTCAACATCATGCTAAAAGTTGGAAACATTTTATAAATTGCATTTACAGGCAACACACAATAGAAACAATAGTTGATTATTGTCATTTGACAAATGATCATTAACACAATTGAAATTATTACTCCTCAAACTCAGAACGGTTCATTGTCAATGCACAAACTTTAATTTTTTATTATCAAACAACAGCAATTAGCTAATTTTTATTTCCATGTTGCTTGCTCTTTCATGAGAATTATATATGGTACTATACCACATATAAATAACAAGGATAACTAGCGTTGCATAGCCAACTCATACCAAAAGAGCAACAGGGATTAGAGAAGCAGAAAGTTGTACAGATATAAATTCCTCAAGCTTTAACACTTAATTTTATTAATAATACCTGTGTGATGCTGGTCAGCTTGGTGCAAAAATCTGAGAGTTCTGGGTGGATTACTGGCTTGACAAACTCTTGAAATGTGCTTTCAACTGTCAGTGTCTCCGGGTTTAATTTCAGTGCAGGAAACTCAATGATTTCCTGAAAAAAATCAAGTTTATATATACCACAAATCTTAACAAGATTGTAGGGATAAATATTTTTCTAGTACCGTATTCATGGATACAAACAATGACAAGTTACATCTCCAAAACATATGATGGTTGTTTCTATAACATTCCTTTATGTTTTGGTAGGTATGTTTTTTACAATATTTTTTATAGTGAATTCACTTAACCCAATTAAATTGGTGTGAAATTACAAGCCCTCCTCACTCCTCCTGACTGAGTCCTGTAAGCTTGCAGTGGACAAGTGGACAAGGTTGTTGTAAATGCTCAATGGCATCATTGGCATGTTTATGGCTACAGTAATATCACATCAATAATATGGTAATGAATGAATATGGTGATACCTATCATAAATAATCATATCAATAAAGGATAAACAAGGAAAAAACACAGAAAATTTCATTTATTATACATCTACATCAACTAGGTACAATGAAAGAGAAGGGCTTCAGACTTCAGAATACTGTTAGTAATGGATGAGTACACTCTGCATGCTTCAAACATTTTTAAATTGAGTTTTATGGACTACTAATTTCAAGTGTCCTGGATTACCCATTCCAACCCAGGGGTAATTTCACTAATTTGCGACACTTTTATGTTGTGCCTGGCACCTTACAAATAGCTAGCATATGGAATTTTTTGATGCCATTCAATAGCCCATTAACCTTACAAAGAGCTACCTAATATAAAATGAGCCTAAACTTGTTTATGAAATGTTTCTTGGTAAGAAGTTATCAACAAAACGGCTCAAAACCATTAACCGTCTCTTATTAGTACCCCATTTAACAGTATATGTACTAGTAATAATACTATTAGTATATACTTACTAGGTAGCTAATTAATTAGCCTACCTGAGATTGTGCTCCAAAGTCAGGATTATCAAACTTCTTGAAACATGTAGCCTCAAAGTCAAGAATGAGTAGATATTGAAAATTTTGTTTAGCCATCTTTAAATCGATTTTTTTGTAGCTTAAAATAATATTTTGAACTGAACCAAAAGAACTATTTGTACTATTGTAATACTCGCGGTATAACGATTGATCACAAAACTGTAAACAATTGAGGAATAGTCGCCTCTTAGAAGCAACTATGAGTCTGAACATAACGAAAATTTTTAGAATATATAGATACTTTAAAATTCGATGGATTTCACAGCCCAAGGCCAAGGGCAAGGATGACGCAATAAACTTCACAATATTCCCTCTTTCAGAATCGCAAATAGTATATAATTGGTATTAGGTAATTGTCGTAAGTCGACCATCAACTAAAGTATTTTAATTTACTTTTGCGCAATCTATGTCGTGAAGAACGAATGTCGTTGCTGACGGGTTGGCGGTAAATACAAACAATAGGGAGAAAAATTGAAAGAAGAACACACAGAAAACAGCTGGCAGAGCAAAGAGACGGATATCCGTGTTTTTACGTGAGGTGAGGTCATCCGCATTTATTTTATTATGTCATTTCGGTGTTGCGTCTTGTCGGAGGAGGCGTGTGACTGTGATTCGCGAACCTGCTTAAATGGGCTGACCGCTGACGCTGATTGGGATTTGGGCCTTCGTAGCTATTCTTCTTTTTATAAACTGAATTTTGACCCTGAAAGTTTTTGCCTGAGTTCCTCATGAAGAACTCTGTTGTTTTTAGCTAAAAAGTTATCATGATTTTTATTTGAACATAATGGCTTGGTCAGGAGAGGGTACCACACTGAAATCCCCACTGGAGCAAGTTTGGAGGCAGTTCGTTCCTCAAGGTCATGATCAAGCCCTGCGAAATGCTTTCTACAATGTGGCTGCTGCTGGATTTGTGGCAGTTGTTGGTGCTGCTGCTTGGCATGTTTACCTTATATTTCAGGTAAAAATTATGCTTGTTAAGTTGTTCTACTTTCCTTCAAGATAATCGGTTGTCTTTTGAGTTTCAGTGGAATAGCTACCTAGGCTAGGGTAAACGCGGTATATTCCGACATCATAGGTAATTCCGTCACTTCTCTAGTTTTTCCTTTATATTAAGCTTTGTTTTAGTTCCATGCGTTCAAAAAACACTAGGTCTTGGCCATCTAGCGGGAAAATATTGAGATCCAAGGAGAGACAATGCATGCCACGGGGTGAGATCATCGAAAAATGTGTCAAATTTGACAGTTGACATGGCTCTACCAAATAGTGAATAACTGTTTTTATAGGAAGAATATTATGGTTTGAGACTTTTAAATACGTCTGTGAATATATTAGGAATCCTTTAAGTATACTTGTATTTGCTGATTTCAAGTCGTAAATAAATTAATAGATGATTAAGTTGAGATGTTGGATTTTGAGTTTAATTTCAAGTGTTGCAAAACCTTCATGTGCTTGATAATGAAAATTGTATCTTTGAAACGTCCCATTGAGCCATTCCATCATCCATTAAAATGTCATTTGGTAATGGGTAACCTGCTTTCTGATCTCCCCGTGTGGCAGACTGGCAGTGTCAGCAAAAAATTTTGTTTGACATTGAAAAAACATATAATAAGAATACCGTAAAATGGGGTTACTTTGACCGGCGGGGTAACTTTGACCACTTTTCGTTTTTTTAACAAAAACCCCCTAAACACAAAAACGATTTGACATAGAAAAATTTTGTCAATGGCCATCAAAGGCCTAATACTGAGGCTACCGGCAGCAGACTTCAGGATGGAATTCTAATTTCGAAGGTTCATATATTATTTCGATCCACCAAGACCACTTTTTCAATCCAACATTGTTATTTGGGGCAAAAAATGAACTTCTTAAAGGCTTAAAACACGTACACTAACTTGCTCAGTTTCTATAAAGTACCCCACTGTGCAGAGAGTGAACGAAGATTTAAAGACCTACGGCGACGCATTATCGGCAAAATTTTCGCCTTCAGAAGATCTTGCCGACACATTTAGATCGAAATTCTTGCATTTAATATATTTCTCAGTCTTCAGCCAACTATTTAGAAAAAAAGTAAGGTTTCCGGTACGTTGGATGGACTACGATGCAGCGAAGCTTGTCCAGAAATCAGTTGCGATGAGTTCCCGCAACAAAATGTAAACAAAGTTTTTTTCGATTGCGTAGTTTTGGTCACATTAGAGTGGTCAGACTGCTTTATTACTTGTTCAGTTGATACTTGCTGTACAACCGGACTGTTTTTAGGGTAAAATTAGTTATTTGGGGTAACACGTGCATGCAACCTTGTAATAAGTTAGGCCAAGACCTAGTGTTTTTGCAGTATTTCGACACGCAAATGTATGACGTCACCATTTCAACCATCAATGAACGCATGGAACTAAAACAAAGCTCAATATAAAGGAAAAGCTGGAGAGGTGACGGAATTACCTACAATGTCGGAATATACCACGTTTACCCTAATCACTTGGAAGTTGCAAGTCTGCACCTTTCACTCAACAATTAAAATTAGACTTATAAAAAGTATTAGTTAGTTGAAAATTTGTCTCTTAAGTTGACCGCAATGAACTAAACTTCATTAAGTAATCATTAGGCAGAGTTTTTCATCATGCACACTAAACACGCAATTCAGACAAGCCGAAGACGCAATTCAGACAAGCCGAACTTCATAACACATGAGCTAACGTGCTACTGAATTGAATTGCTTCTTCCCGCTACCGGTGATCTAGCGGGATGATCAATCGTATACTTAATTCGTATACGGTTGTATACAAATTATGAATTAACTAATTGTTTGTATCTTAATGCAAGAGAATGAATAATTATGTTGTTTCCAATCAAATAGAGTTTAACTTTTTCTGTTTCTGATCAAACAAACGAAAACTTCTGATCAAACGAATGAAAACGACTTTGAATTCTAATACGGATTGTTAATTTTAACATCGTATTTCCCAAAATCAATTATTGCATTTCTTTTAATTGAAAAACATCCTTTTACATAAAAAACAACGAATTTTTTCATACAGCTCCTCAGGAATGACGAATGAATGCTCCTCATATTGACAAATGACGATCTTACTCTTATAGCTAACAATTTTAAATTGAATGATTTTGTCATTTCAAAGACTCCATTGATTACAGAACTTTAGTTTTTGGAAGTGTATTCAAGAAAAGTTTCTGAAATAGTAGAAACATTTCCATTATCATTCTGAAATAGAAGCTTCATTTCCATTCTTATATATAAACAGGATTAATAAAATGCCTATCAAATCCATCCAATGTCATTCAATTTGTGATGTATGAACAACAGTTTTACTTTGATTCTTATGATGCTCATTTTTAACAGTTGAAGCTGTAGAATTAAATTAAATTAAAAAATTTAATAAAATTAAATTTTACTAAATCAAAATTTATTATTCAATACACTAGATGGTACATGCTGTAGAATTAAATTAAATTCTATTAGAAAAATGTTGAATTAAAAATCTGATTATATTTTTTAAATTAAATTTAATTTTTATTGAATTAAATTGTATTATTAATGCATTATACCGTACATGCTCTATGTTTTCTATAATGAAATAGTTTCCCATGTTAAACAACGAAAATTTTCTAAAAGACACAAAACGTTCAAAAACGCGGGATGGCAGGCAAAATCATTCAGAATTTGAAGTGAATTTATCAAGATAAATTCAACATAATGGGGCAAAAAATTCAAATCTGGAACTTATAAATAGGTTTTTATAATTTAAAAAAAACTTTCAATCATTTAAATCTCAGAATGGAATGTGAATCAAGTCTATTTATTGTGAAATCAAACTAGACACAACCAAAACATAAGTGTGTGACACCGTCTTGTGAGAAGTAAACAGAAAACACCATGTGAATGTACGCAGTGAAAGAGTCGAAGTTTATCTCGTAATTTAGTGTGAAATTGAAAACTTTGTGGGTGTTGTCCAATCGTGAGAATTTTTTACGAAGCTGGATGTGTTTTTTTTTATTTTAGAACGTATTCATTGCAAAAATGTGTCTGCTAGCCTACAGATAAACGACTAGTTAACTTGATTAGTCGTTGGCAACACGGGATTGGATTTCAAACCACGCACGATTTCGGAAGCACAGCTGTTTCAAATGAGCTCAGTTTGTCAATTTTCATTGCAGTGGAAGGTGGTGTAACGCGGTGGTAGGGTTGGTATTTCGATACATTTTCTTATATTTACATGAGAATATATTACCTATTCAGAATTCCACACTGTGTAACCGGCTACGTAACACAATAGAAAGATTTAAAAAGTTTGCATATCTAATAGGTTAAAAAATTAATGTGACCCACGAAAAAGAGCTATTGTTTAAAGCCTGTTGGAGTACCCCCTCCAATTTGTTTTATTTTTTGGTAAAATAACTCCAGGTTTTGATGCATTGTAGTAGAACTCTTCTAGTTACATATGCAAAAGACAAATTTTAGGAAAGTGTCATAGTTTGCAAATGGGGGCACCGCCCCCCAATGGGGTAACTTTGACCACCTAATGGCAGCTTTGATGGGGTAACATTGACCAGCTTGGAAATTAAGTTAAAATTACCATAGGTACCTATATAACATATTTTATGTTTGATACACCTATTAACGTTTTTTTTCTTTATGTTTCAGACTCTACAGAGTCTTATATATGGTAATTTTAACTTAATTTCCAAACCAGTCAATGTTACCCCATCATGGCTGCCATTAGGTGGTCACATTTGGCCCATTGGGGGCAGCACCCCCCATTTGCAAACTATGACACTTTCCTAAAATTTGTCTTTTGCATGTGTAACTAGAAGAGTTCTATTACAATGCACCACAATCTGGAGTTATTTGGAGTTATTTTACCAAAAAATAAAATTGATTTTACCACCCGGTCAAAGAAACCCCAAGAGCTGGGGTAACAAAGACCATCACTTTTTTTGAAATTACATCAAAACTATGCGAGGCAGGAGCCAGCAATTTATGGTGAGTAAAGCTAGAGTATAGACCTGTATTTTACATGTTTCAATTTAAGTCTAAGTTATCTAGTAAAAAAATGGCATCATTTAAAAAAAAGTGGTCAAAGTTACCCCATTTTACGGTATCAATAAAAAGCATGCTTTGGTCTTTTTCCAAACTTGCCTAAAGGAAAAGCTTCTACGTACTGAATTACACCAAGTAGTGGCAAGTACCATCAAATGGGGTAATGAGGGATGGGTGGGGTAAATTGGGACAGTTGTCCCACTGTTCCACATTTTGTTGAATTGTTGTAGCAGCTAAACTAATAAAAATATTGATGTAGAGTTTAACATTTATACTATCTATGTAGCATAAAGCAAGTTAATTAATCAAACTTTTACTACCTCTAAAAAAATCCCTGAAAACAAGTGTGAAAAGTGAGATTTTGGAAAAGTACCTCTGCTACGGTCTGTAGCAAAAAATTTTGTCATATTAAGTAATTTTACTTACATAGAAGTTGCACACAGGTGTTGGCTTGAAAACGGGATTGAAGGAATTTGCGTATCTCATTCCAAGAAAATTGTGGCCATTTCCGCAAGATGGGGTAAGAAGGGACACCCCTGGGGCAATAAGGGACACCCCTAAAAACGCATTTACTGTAGGCTCCAGTTGACAAAAAATCCGTTAACAAAAAATTTTATGTTTCTTTATGTTTCAGGTATGTTTTATTGATTTTTTTTTTTGTTATAGTGAATTCACTTGACCCAATCAAAATGGTGTGAAATTACAAGCCATCCTGGAAGCTTCCAGATACAGAAGAAATGCTATACCATAAACTGGGGTAACTTTGACCACTTTTTTTTTTCAAAATGATGCCATTTTTTTACTAGATAAGTTAAACCTAAATTGAAACATGCAAAATACAGGTCTATACTCTAGCTTTACTCACCATAAATTGCAGGCTCCTGCCTCTCATAGTTTTGATGTAATTAAAAAAAAATCGCTGGTCTTTTTTACCCCGGCTCTGGGGGTATCTTGGACCGGGTGGTCTTAGTAACCCCTTTGGGTGGTCTTAGTAACCCCATTGGGTGGTCTTAGTCACCCCATCTTGGTTTAAGCTGCCCCCAATGGTAATAATTTCGCAAGTATTTAACAATACACTTTATTTATCTTCACTTACAGGGAATACAATACCACATTTGAGCAAAATACACACAAGTGGCAAAAAAAATCCATTTTTTGAACATATTTCAAAGAAATACTGGTAAACATAATAGCTACGGTACGTAACTCTTCCTTCTGTAAATATATGCACTAACTTCCTTTTGTAACTGAACATGATAACTCTTCCATAAATGTAATGACTTTTTCATAAACGTAAAAATGTTCCTTTGGTAAATAAAGACTAGTAAAGTCACTGACCTAAGCTAAAGTCATAAACATAAAGTCACTGACCTAAGCTAATGCATACAGACTTACATCAAGAGCAGCATTGAACACATACTGCTCTCTACTATTAAACTTATAAGGCACATCAATTATCTCACAGATGTCCTTCATCTCCACTGAGGCTGTGTCATCTTTAGCCACTGTAAATACAGTCTTGGATTCACTTGAATGGAGGAATGTGACAGACACCTCAGTCTCATCAAACTGATCAACAGTGGCTAAATATTTTCGATGTTTGTCACTGCTGTTGTTGACGTAGACTTTGGTGATTACAAAGCTACCCACTTTGAGTGCACTACTTTTAGTTGTTGTTGAGGTACAGGATCCTTCATCAGTGGCACTGATAGGAGCAGTGGCTTTTAGTTTCTTGGTAGGGTTGGGATTTACGTTGTTAGATGTATCACCTACTGTAGGGGTCCCAGAACTAGGAGAGGGTATTTCTTTCTGCACCTTTGATGGTGTGCCTGCTGGTGTACCTGTACAGGGAATACAATATTAACTTCTTAGCAATGAACATACAACTAGCAAGAAATTTTCACTTTTTGAACATATTTTAAAGATATAAACATACCTAATAGCTAACTGTTCCTGTATTACCTGCTGTAGGGGTCCCAGAAGTAGGAGAGGGTATTTCTTTCTGCACCTTCGATGGTGTGCCAGCTGGTGAAAGCATTGGTGTCAATACTCTGGCACTTCTGGAGCATGTAGGCCTGACAGCATATATTTCTTCTGAATCTGGGTCAGTATCCATGTCTGAGCTCTCTGACTCAGCATTATCTCCTTTTGCAAGCAAATCCAATTTCCTCTTAACATTCTTTTGAACTGCACATGCAAATGCATCTTTTGATGTTGAAGGGTGCATGTCAAGAGTGGATTGGCCAGATACTTCAGCTTCATCTTGGCTTATTGTTGACACAACACGAGAACCAGGTTGAATTTTTGCGCCTCTTCCTCCACGACGAGCTCCTCTAGCACATTTTGGAAACTTCTTCTCTTCAAGGTAATTGACAAAGGTATTTGAAAGACTGCTTGCTTCAGGTGAATTTTCAATCACAAGGGAAGAGCAACTGGTAGCCCGTGATAAGACAGGCGTGGCATCTTTACCAGTAGTACCCCTACGGGTGTTGCCCAATCTGCGAAGCAGGTTATTTAAGTCTAAGGGGAAAATCCCAGTAGCCCTGAAGCCACTTTTCAGATTTTTTTCAATATTTGGATAGAATGAAGGGTCTTTGAAGAGTTTGTTCACCTGTCTTGGGAAGACTTGCTTGTTCACTATGCTTACAGATGGGTTTTCTACTTTGAACTCCTCCAGGACATGTTTCCAGGCCTTCTTCATTGGTCCAAAAAAGGCCACATCCAGTGGCTGTGTTTTATCAGTGGAGTTAGGGGGAAGGCAGATAAACTTGATGTCATTGTCTTCTGCTAGTTTGAGTACAGTTTCTGAGAAGTGAGCACTCAGATTATCACCAATAACAGCCTTGGGACCATCCAGGTTTTGAAGGTGAGGCAAGAGGAGTTCACTAAACCACTTTTGGAAAGCATTAGTATCCATCCAGCCACTGGCTGTGTTATGGAATTGTGTACCGTTCTTACAGCAGCGAAAATGACAGCAAGGATCTCCTTTTGGACCTCCTTGTATCCATGATGTGTAGAGGTTGTCATATGCCGCTTAATGAAGGACAGGGCCCAGTCTGGGCCTGGCAAATTCATAGAAAACATGGGAACAGTGCGCCCCTCTGAATCAAGGTAGCTTTTGACTATGATGCGTAAGTCCATTGGTTGGAGAGGGAAGCCATAGTCACTGCACTGAAGAGTCCTCTTCACTATAAGCGCCTCCTCTACCGGTGAGAGAATAGTCTGTCTTCCAGGACTAAGCACAGTTTTTCCATGCACTCTGTTGAAAAGAGCACCCTTACCGATGCCATACTGACTCGCAGCTTTTGTCAAACTTAATTCCTTGTCTTTGATCTTCTGCACTACTTGATCAACAAAATCTCCGCTGTAATTCTGGTAGGTACGAGCCCCCTTCGGACGTTTGTAAGACCTAGGCATGTTGAACTAAGGTCAATACTTATAAGGTATACCAAGTTTAAACTCTATATCTAACAATAATTAAAGTCTGTAGAGTCTGAAACATAAAGAAAATACATTAATAGGTGTACTAGACATAAAATATGTTGTATATGGTCATTTAAAATTAATTATTAAGCCGGTCAATGTTACCCCGTCATGGCTGCCATTGGGTGGTCAAAGTTACCCCATTGGGGGGCATTGCCCCCCATTTGCAAACTATGACACTTTCCTAAAATTTTTCATTTGCATATATAACTAGAGGAGTTCGACTACAATGCATCAAAACTTGGAGTAATTTCGGCAATAAATAAAAAAATTGGAGGGGGTACTCCGACAGGCTTTAAATAATAGCTTTTTTTCGTGGGTCACAATTTTAATTTTTTAACCTATTAGATATGCAAACTTTTTAAATTTTTCTATTTTGTTATGTAGCCTCAGTATAAGGCCTTCAATGCCCATTGACAAAATTTTTCTATTCCAAATAGTTTTTGAGTTTTGGGGGTTTTTGTTAAAAAAACGAAAAGTGGTCAAAGTTACCCCGGGAGTCAAAGTTACCCCAGTTTACGGTATATAGATATGGCTGCTGATATGAAGCTTGCAGTGGATAAGGTCATTGAAAATGCGTAATGGCATGTCCATGGATACCGTAATATTGCATCAATAATATGGTAATGTATGGATATGGTAGTAGCATATCAATAAAGTAAAAACATGTAAAAATCACAGAAAATGGTATTTATTCTACATCTACATAATCTACAAAGGAAGAGGAAAACTTCAGAGTGCTGTTGATAATGTACGAGTTACACTCTGCATGCTTCAAACGTTTAAAATAGTTTTATTTCAAGTGTACCAGATTACTCTGTTCCCAGGGGTAATTCGGGATGCTTTTATTTTGCATCTGGCACTTTGCGAATAGTAGTATATGGAATTTTTTAAGAGTTTATAAGCAAAACTGTGCTTATAAACTAAGTGAAATTTGTTTCAGAAAATTGCCTAAGGATATTTTATCACATTTCTAAAAACATTGAATAAGAAACATTAAATCAACTTTTATCTATTAAAGTACGGCATTTGGCTGCAATTTTTTTGTAATGCATATTTCTGTCAGAATATTGTATTTTGGGCTGGTATTGTAATTTATATTGTATATTGTGCAAAGTTGTGGTAGATGGAGCCTGATGCATTTACCAAATTTGAATATTACTCAACCAATTTATTTGAATATTTTTCAAACAGATGTCCTGTTACTATTAGCATACAAATCATATGTTTCCTCATTTTGCAGCCATTTGTTCGAGCGTTGCTGTGGGCCGTGTTGTGCGGCTCAGCCATCCACCCTATCAAGGCAGCTGTTGTTGGCACTGTCCAGGCATGGCTCAACAGCGTATCAAACTCGTCTTCTTCTCTCACCGTAGCCACTCTCCTCCTACCCTTGCATACACTGGATGCTGTTTCTGAACTTGTTGGAAAGTAATAATGCAATTAAAGCTGCTATTATTTATTTATTCATTTATTTATTTACTATTTATTTATTTGGCATCTTGTGTAGCTAAAACTGCTTAATGACTATGAGCATAATATATTTTCATGACATTTATTTTATAAATTTATTTTGATTGCCTGACAATGATGCAATCATGAATAAAATTGTTGAATTGTATTTACCTCAAAAGTGCCAATCATAAATTTCACAAAAGTCACCAGTGTTTTTTATGTTTATGCTAAATTTTGAAGGAATTGTATAGTATTGTCTGCTAGATTTTGAAGGAATTGTATAGTATTGTCTGCTAGATTTTGAAGGAATTGTATAGTAGTATAGTATAATTATATGTAGTATTTGTTAATTTATATATACCCACTCTGAAAACAGTGAACATATAACTAGTAGCACATGTCACAATCGTTTTGTTCACCAGATATGTGGTGCGTCATGTTCGCACTGTGGTGATAGTGACGATGGTTCTCCCAGTGGTGTTCATCATCATTCACTATACACCGACTGTGCTCACTTCAGTCGCTTATTGGCTTCTCTCTGCTGCCTTCAACACCGTGGCATTTGTCATGTCCCTGGCAACTTCCAACAAATACCTGGTCAGTGAATTGCTCTGTGCATTTAATCTCTTCATTGTATTTTATTTTTCGTGAGTTTTATCAGTACATTAACTCTTATATTAATTAACTGATAAAAAAGCATTGCTTATTTTAAAAAGTAATGTTTTATATAATACAGTAAATTCTCCAAAAATACTTTATATTGAACAGGAAGCCAACATGTCCCTAACTTGTGTATATACTATAAGTTATCTTATATATTTGAAAGCACAAGAATTTTTACATGCATCTGTGGTTCCAAAGTTCATTCTGAGAATATTTTGGTGCTTTTCTGCTAGTAGAGTACCTAGTAAAGAAAGTTTTAATCAAAATTCATTTTTTAGAATGAGCAAAGTAGAGTGCAATTTAGAATGCTTCTTACGTTGTTGAATGATATTAGGTGGTTGCCCTGGTGTGCTGCTACATGGCTAGCCTCTTCATCTACTGGGAAGAGGAAGTGTACAGGATATGGCTGAGCCGTCTCAGTGTAGCAGTGTGGCTGTTGGCTGGTGCTGGTGTGGCTGGATGGCTGGTGCCAGCTTCAGCCACTCAGCCAGTCTTTGCTCTGTTCTGTGCACTGCTCATACTTGGCTTGTCTGTTGAGGTCTGGGAGTACATGAAGGCAGAGCAGCAAGGTGATTTTAGTGCAACAATAACTTAACTTTTCAATTTTAATGTTAGTGATATTCTAATACACTAGGTATAGTACTACTGTAAATGACATTTTAATATTTACTGTTGACATTGTAATATTTACTGTTACTACATTTTAAAATATACTGTTAATGACATTTTAATATTTACTGTTAATGACATTATAATATTAACTGTTAATTACATTTTAAAATATACTGTTAAGACATTGTAATATTTACTGTTACTACATTTTAAAATATACTGTTAATGACATTTTAATATTTACTGTTAATGACATTATAATATTAACTGTTAATTACATTTTAAAATATACTGTTAATGACATTTTAATATTTACTGTTAATTACATTTTAATATATATATGTACTGTTAAATACATTTTAATAGTTACTGTTTGAACTTTTTTGTGTTAACTGACATTTGTTGTTTTGATACTGGTACCTACTTGTGTTATGTCCGAGAAGAAAAAAGTAATCATGTTTGTTAGCAATACACTGTTAAATGAAAGACAATTTTAAACAAGAGTTGCTTGCACTACTCATGCATTCATGAAGTGAACTCTTGTAAGAATAAATAAATCTATATCACTGAGTAATTCATTGAAATGAATATCATGCATAAAGTTCTCACAATGATGAACATTTCTGCCCAGATGGTGCAGACAGGGCCAGCTTGGTCGAGTCTGTCGTTAAAGTCTGTAAAGACGACTATGACAGACAGCGGTCACCCAGCATATCTCTGGTACGGTATTTGTTTATGGTCTTATGACAATTATTACTTACATTTGGCTATTGTTAAAGTCTGTAAAGACAACTATGAACGACAGCAGTCACCCACTATTAATTAATATTAATCTTATGAATATAATATAATTATTATTTCAATTATTTGACCACCACTGTTTTTTTGTCAACATTGTATTTTTACTTATGAGTTTGTTGTCAGGATCAGAGCGACACTGCGGACGGTGGCAGGAAGCTGGAGGCCGTCATGGAAGAAGACGACGAACAGGCTCCTGATGCTGGGGCGACCCAAGTGCAGGACTTAAGAGCCACGGCTGGTCTCAACCAGGTCTTTCCTGAGTCTTTCTTCCTTAGTCTTTCTTTCCAAGTCTTTCTTTCTAAGTCTTTCTTTCTAAGTCTTTCTTTCTAAGTCTTTCTAGAGGGCAGCCACATGGCTGACACTCCCCTCGGGAAAGCCGATAAGGACAGCCACATGGCTGACACTCCTCTCGGGAAAGCCAGAGAGGGCAGCCATGTGGCTGACACTCCCCTCGGGAAAGCCAATAAGGACAGCCACATGGCTGACGCTGCAGTGGAGAGCCCTCGTGCTCAGGATAAGGAGGAGAGCGCTAGTAATATGTACATCAAGGTGAGATTTCACTCCATTGTAATATTTTTCTGTCATTATTTTGGCTTCCAATGCATAAAACTTTATATATGGTATGATGAACATATTTGAATGAACATTACTATGTTGCTGTAGTAGGTAATGTTGATCACTCCATTGAACTATTATTATTATATTCAGGCTTCCGATACATAAAATTTGAAATATATGATAAACATATTTCAATGAAATGTTGCTGTAGTAATGTTGAAAGGTTGAAAGTTATGTATTTGATACTGTTCAGAGCTACTGTCTTGTCAGAGCATTTGTAAAAAGATTGTAGCTTGTGATCACTATGAAAATGTGTAATTTATTCAATTAATCTTCAATAATTTACGATTAATTTTTGCAACTTAAACTAGTCATTTGGTATTCAAATCAAATATTTATTCAATACCTATGCATTTTATAATGGCATTTAAAAACTTTTAATACATTAGGTAGTTTTTAGCGAAATATGAGGAAATAATCTCCCAGCTCTCATTTTCATGCTAGATAAAATTTGAAAGTATTGTTTTTTTTAATAAATGTGCAACTCGATACTAATGATATGTTTTCTGTTGTAACTAATTTAGGACTGCTGAAGCAGTCATTTATAAAAGGAAATATGGTAGTGTATATATTGAATGCCCCATGTGTGACACGATGCTGTGCTGGCAGGGCGTGTTCATGGCGTGTGTGCTGGTAGAGCTCTGGCGTCACCACTACCTGCTGGCTCTGCTGCCCATAGCCATGCTCTACCTCATCATTAAGAAGACCAGTGAGTGGTTAAATAGTATATGTTTAATGTGGTGCAAACATGTTTGATCCTCTACCGCCTGACACGAGTAACCGGAGCAATAGTGTCACAAGCCTACTCCCCAAAAAGGATACGTTCTAGTGAGCGCAAAATGACTTGCACTGATGGTTGCCGCCACGTACGACAACTTTAAAATGTTCTCTGTTGCGTACAAACATCCTCAGGTTGTTACACTCAATAGTTTACGTATAATTGTATGTTCCCGGAGAGTGACATGTTTACGACGGTACCGGTAGTTGGTTAATATGGTGCAATAACACAAATAATGCCACACGGGTTTATATTCACAATCACTATTCACTCAATTGAATCACAGCATATACTATTTTTTGCTTACTCTGTTTGAATTAAATACTTTGAAGTACTAGATATTTTCGTACTTTGCACAAATTGAATCATAGTAAATAGTGGTATATCCTAGTGAAATAATACTTATATGATATCATACTCTGCATGAATTAAATACCTTTAAATACTAATATTTTTGTACTCTGCACAAATTAAATCATTGTAATTAGTATATGGTAATGAAATAATAATCATATTAACGATAAGTAACAATGCGTGCAATGTTGTTCAGCTTTTGTGTGGCTGGTGCCATGAACTACCATTAATATTTTTGTACTCTGCACAAATTAAATCATAGTAAATATAGTATGTGATAGTAAAATATTACTGATATTAATGATATGTAACAAAGTGCACAATGTTGTTCAGCGTTCGTGTGGCTGGCGGGAGGCTCTCTGGGGGCAGCAGCAAACTCCTGCCTGCAGCAGCTGAGCGACCGCCTGCTCGCCTGGCTCTCCAGCAGGCGAGACGCTCTCCTGCCGCCGCCTGTGAGGGGCATTAAGAAGGTGGGTATCTTGATTNTAACACGCATGCGTGTTGCAGGTGCTGGCACGCAGTGAGTGCATATCTAACACGCATGCGTGTTGCAGGTGCTGGCACGCAGTGAGTGCATATCTAACACGCATGCGTGTTGCAGGTGCTGGCACGCAGTGAGTGCATATCTAACACGCATGCGTGTTGCAGGTGCTGGCACGCAGTGAGTGCATATCTAACACGCATGCGTGTTGCAGGTGCTGGCACGCAGTGAGTGCATATCTAACACGCATGCGTGTTGCAGGTGCTGGCACGCAGTGAGTGCATATCTAACACGCATGCGTGTTGCAGGTGCTGGCACGCAGTGAGTGCATATCTAACACGCATGCGTGTTGCAGGTGCTGGCACGCAGTGAGTGCATATCTAACACGCATGCGTGTTGCAGGTGCTGGCACGCAGTGAGTGCATATCTAACACGCATGCGTGTTGCAGGTGCTGGCACGCAGTGAGTGCATATCTAACACGCATGCGTGTTGCAGGTGCTGGCACGCAGTGAGTGCATATCTAACACGCATGCGTGTTGCAGGTGCTGGCACGCAGTGAGTGCATATCTAACACGCATGCGTGTTGCAGGTGCTGGCACGCAGTGAGGCGTGCGTGCAGCGTGTGGTGGCGGGTTGCCTGCACGAGCTCGTGTCCTGCTGCCTCATCCTGGCCGCCCTCCTCGTCATCCTGTGCGGGGCCGTCTTCCTGGCCGTCCAGGTCAGCATTATCATTATTGTTTTATGTTATTATTATCATCTGTACTGTGGCAGTTAGCATCATTAGTATGATGCTAACTCCTTTTTTTCAAGATGATGGCTCATGATATCATCCATTATTTTCGTCTTGATCATTTGTCATTGCCATCATTTTTTCTTGATCATTTATCATTGGCATCTTTGACGTCACCATTGGTCATCAAAATCGTTATTATCACTATGATTTATCACCATCTTCCATGCCATTATCGTATATGTATTTATTATCATGGATCATAATCGTTCTTGTTCACCATCATTAATCACTTTCATCATTTCTGCCCATCATCTTGCAATATTCTGCATCATCCTGACACTATACTTATAGCTGATGCACGCCTTAATGTTTTTTGTACATTTCCAGCGTACGGCATCAAACACACAATAAAAAATGCATAGTAAATTCATTTATGAATTTCTTAGCCCATCCTGCACATTTACGGGATTGTACAGGATATAATATACAGGATTCTACGTATTTACAGGATATATAATAATTATATCTTATTTATTACAGATTGTTGTTACTAATACAGATAATTAATTATACTAATAGGTTTATAATACAGATACTAATTTGTTATACTAATTGGTTGATAATAGAGAGAGAATAGAGGTACTAATTTGTTATAATAATTGGTTAATAATACAGATCCCAATTTGTTATACTAATTGGTCAATGATGCAGATCCTAATTTGTTATACTAATTGGTTAATAATACAGATACTAATTTGTTATACTAATAGGTTAATAATACAGATACTAATTTTTTATACTAATTTGTCATACTAATAGGTTAATAATACAGATACTAATTTTTTATACTAATTTGTCATACTAATAGGTTAATCAGGGTTGGCTATGATTAAATCAAAATGATTAAATCATGTGATTAAATCACTTGATTTTTTTATAAAAAAATCATANGATAATTAATTATACTAATAGGTTTATAATACAGATACTAATTTGTTATACTAATTGGTTGATAATAGAGAGAGAATAGAGGTACTAATTTGTTATAATAATTGGTTAATAATACAGATCCCAATTTGTTATACTAATTGGTCAATGATGCAGATCCTAATTTGTTATACTAATTGGTTAATAATACAGATACTAATTTGTTATACTAATAGGTTAATAATACAGATACTAATTTTTTATACTAATTTGTCATACTAATAGGTTAATAATACAGATACTAATTTTTTATACTAATTTGTCATACTAATAGGTTAATAATAGAGATACTAATTTGTTAAACTAATTGCTCACTAATACCTACAGATCCAGGGAGAAAGCCTGCAGCTGGTAGGTGTGGCAAGTCAGATCATCATTGGTTAATAATACAGATACTAATTAGTTGTACCAATAACTAGTTTAATAATAAAGAAAATAATACAGATACTAATTAATTACTAATACATACAGATCCAGGGAGAAAGCGTGCAGCTGATAGGCGTAGCAAGTCAGATGATCAACGCGACTGTAGTGAGCAACCCTCAGTTCATCGCCCTGCTGCCTGAAGACTTCAGCAGCACCTTCAGCAGCGCCCTCGAGGACGCCTACCTCTACGGCCGCGACTGGCTCACCAAATGGGTGCGACACTAGGGGCTGGGGTGTCTTTTGAGTCATTAGTTCCCATTACATTGTCAGCTTGTCAGCAAATGGGAACTAATGTTACCAAAAGTGATAATAATGTGGCTTAATAATAATGGATGTAATATCAAAAGTAGCTACCCCTCTTCGGTTATGCCTGGCTCACGAAATGAGTGTGGCATGCGGGGACAGGGGAGTCCTTTGAGTCATTAGTTGCCATTACATTGTCAGCAAATGGGAACTAGTACGTTATGTTACCTACCAAAAGTGATAATAATATGGCTTAATAATAATGGATGTAATATCATAAGTGGTTACACGCCTTTGGACGCCAACATCTCTTCGGTTACGACTGGCTCAAGAAATTGCGTGCGGCACACATCTCAGTGAAGAGGAGCGGGGGAGTTGGCCTATTGTCAACTGATAGGGACTTTAGTTAACTGTTGCTGTAATATCTAAAGTGGTTACTCGTTTGTAACTTGGTCAGACAATAATTGACGGCTTTTATAGCTAAATTCAACGAGAAGTCAGACTCTACGTGTCCTTGGCCGCTACCTGTACTAAGGCCGCTACCTGTACTTAGGTCGCTGCATGTACTCAGGCCTCTACTTTTACTTAAGCCGCTACGTGTACTTGAGCTTTGAAGTTTTCATCTATACTATAAATCTATATTCATCTATAAGTTATTTTCAAATCTGTGAATGCTCCACACGTGCACCAAGTAGTTGCACTGTTGGTATTGTGACTGCAGGAGATATTGCTTTCCTGCAGGTGCGGGACCTGGTCGGTGACACTGAACCTGCCAAGGCCTTGGCACTAGAGAAGCAGGTCAGAACTTGACTCTTTCAGTACTGCGCTGTTACCACTAATTTATTATATCTGTTTTAATGAATATATGATTTTATTAATTCCATTGACAAATACCGGTACTGTTCCCTCTGTCGCTCGGAGTACTTCATGATTTATTATACTTTACTATATATTATATTATTATTATTATTATGTTTTATATTATTTATTATACTTTATATGAGCATCGTAAATGATTCCTTCTTCTCAGATTTATCAATGTACATATTTTATGTCTGTCAGTTTATAATTTAACTGATAAATGATGTACTTTATACAGTGGGGGGAAATAAATATTCGTACACGTGAAAAATCGTATTTTAATGTATGTAAGTACACAAACTGAACAGGAAAAGTGATTTAAATTATGTATAGAGACGCATAGTATCCAAAAATACTATCAAAATAAATTAAATCTCAATGCAACAAAAAACAATGCAACATGTTCACTTTTCGGGTGAAAAAAGTATTCGTACAAAACAATAAATCCGCATTATTTTAATTTAATACTTGGTTGAATACCCTTTATTC